GGAAAGTTAAGGTAGTTTTCTCTTATTTTGGACTTCATGGAGCAAAATAAAGAGCTGGACAGGAACTAATACGTCAGTATATAAGGAAAATTCAGACCCAGCTGAGCCTCACAATAGGGAATATAGGGGAATAAGTAAACTTTTCATTCATTGTGTTGCAGACTGCTGTATTGACCAAGCCATTACACTCATCCGACCTTTGTAAGTCATATTGATGGAGTTTTCATCAGACAGAAACCTGCAATTTTTTGTTAGTTTGTTTTTCTAGCCATAAATTCAGCAGGGTTTGACTGTCTCCATTAGACAGCCCCAGGTTTTGGTTGAGGAAGCCTTGAAAGTTCCTGCACCATTTTCATCCTCATAGCTCTACAAATGACATTTCACTTTGGTAGGGAAAATTAAAGCCAAGTTTAAATGTCCGTTACTTGAAAAACAATTTAAGACTATGTTTTGCAACTTCATAATAATCAGCTTTTATCAGCAAGGCAGCCTTATTCATATAATTGAAATGGAAGGATGTTTAATATCTGGTATCTCTAAGCATTTCAACACATCACAATTAGTTGTTGGGTTTGTATTGTACTAGTAATATGATTTTGCTGCTGAGTGAGGATCAGGATTCAGAGGAAGAGTTTACCAGCTCAGAAAGTTTGGAAATCCTTGGCTTGTGGCCACTTCTGAACTGCACACAATTCAGGATCATTAAATCTAATTGCCATGCTAATGCCACAGATTTTTAATTGCATTGCACAGACCTATAGCTTTGTTCTAGTTCACTTATAATTCAGGCTTGAAAAAGATTATGAGCCTTGGCATCAAGAATTGTATTTGCAGTAGAAATGGTCCCACAGATCCCATTTGTCCTCAAGGTTAGTTCCGTTCCTCCTATTCCATCAATACGCCTTGGTTTGTGAATGTAGTACCTCCTAATTTAAGGAGCCTGTCTCCTAGAATACCAATTTGATGTTCAATGTGTTAATAAAAGCTGCCTCACAATATGGGTGTAGACTGGTCTGTCAAGGGAAGAAGAGAGAAGAATTTATTTATATATGTATGTATTCAATTATTCATGTATATGAAACTTACATATATAAGTATATACATTTATGTATATGATTTTTTCAACAAAGTAACTTTTTCAGAAAAATATACAAAAAAGCATTATTTGAGCTCCTTACTATTTTGTTTCTTTGTGTCACACAATATTCTGCTTTTCTACCATTCTTTTTTATACTATGTTGTACATGCAGCTCAGCAAATACATCAGAATATGGTTTCTCTTTTTCTTTTTCAGGGTCAAAAGGCTTGGATAGAGAAGACCTTTTTAAAAAGAGAATGCATCTACATAATTGCCAACAACAAAGACACTAGCAGGTAGCATTTGAAACCTTTTCAATTTATTTGAAAAGAAGATGGTTACCATGGGGGTTAGTGGAATTGGTCTGGATGTACACAGGTGTATGTTAGGGTTACTTTTACTCATTGCCTAGAGGGAGAAGGTGATAGAGGAGCAGAAGTAAAAAAGATGCGTGTACACACTATGCAATCTGAAGCAGATACAAAGGAGCATAGAGAAGGCCAACACTGGAAGACAGGAGTGAGTAGTAGGGGAAAGCAGGGATGGATAAGACCAGAGAAGCAAAGTGCAGCAAGTTTGCAGAGATTTTGAAAAACAAAAATCCCAGAATGAGCTCTGAGATAGATGAGGCAATGGAGAATGATACAGTCCTGATTCATGAACCAAAACATACCTGGTCTCAGCATTCTGGATGTTATATTACACTCCTTTATAGTACCATAGTACAGTGCTATAATTCTAGATGTAACGTAGCATTACTGCTGTTATGTTATCAATTGGCAAACTGTGGTCCACTCACTGGTGGAAGAGAGCTCAAGATGCCTTTTCTAATGCCCCTCTGTTCTCTGTCTACATGATGGGCAACAGAGGAACCAAAGCAGGCCCCTCACAGCTACTACTTTACTGTAACCTGGGAAACATACCTACATAGTTCCTTCCTCCCAGAGAAGTGAAGTGAGTCACTTGGTCCTTAAGCATTAAGAAACACCTGTGGCCTGGTACACCTGAAAAAATGGGCTTGTTACATTTGTCTAGATACAGTTCATACGAGATGCTTCTGTGGCTCCTCTAACATTGTATGTGTGATATACAAAATAGGTAGATATGCAAGTCAGAGGTTGTGTGTATAGTCTAAAATCTAATTCTTTATCTCTATGGAACCTTAACTTCTCTTTTAAAACAGATATTAGAGATCCTGTATTCATTATTGCTCCAAACTCTAACTTTCAGGTGCTGCTGTGGCCAGCTCATTAGTCAACATATTCCACCCCCTCCAAGTATAACAGCTAACAAAAATGGAGAGGAAACAAAGCAGTTGGAAACGCATCCAGAAAAATGGTCTGTCAGTAAGCACACCCAAACATGCCCAACAGATGCCTATGGAAATCTTGAATTCCAGGGAGGTGGGCATTCAAATAAGGCCGTGGTAAGGAGCAGAGCATATGCTGTAGTGACATATTCATCTGTGGTCAGGATCTTAGCTCACTAAGGGCCAGCTCCTTTGAAGTCAAAGAGAGTCTTTCTCTGTACCTCAGAGAGCTTTGGACCAGACTTCTGATCTTAAATATTTAGGGACAGTTTTACGCCAAACTGAAAAGCATCTTATCATAATGCCTAGATCCTCACCTGGTTCAAATTGTCATAGTTCACTGAAGTTGATGAAGCTTATGTCATTTACAGTATTTTAATCACATACACACTCACTGCTGGCATGAAATGTGTTTATTTGTGGCCCAAGCATCCAAGTCAATGTAGGTATAAATGCAGCAGATTTATTTTACCAGATGTATAAAAGTGTCTAAGTGAATGTAAGAGAGGCAGACTTGAAAAGCTGAAGATTGGAGTCCTGCATTCCTTAACGACGCAGGCACAGCATAAACACCAGGGCTAGGGACAGAAATTACACACAAACCAGTATAAGTGCTCAGAAACAAGTTCAAATCTGTAACACAACAGAAGTTCATTGCACATAAACCACTTTCAAAATGGCTAAAACTGGTTTAAGATAAACCTAGATGGATGTAGTATCAGGCTTAACTGATTTAGGTTAAGTCTATTTATTGAACTTCTGTCCCAGATTCCCTCTAAATTCAAGTTAACTCACAGTCCCTCAGCATCCCAGGATGCTTTGCACCTTCCCTGCAAGCCCCCCCTCCAGAGTGGGAGGGCTAGTCTTGGCCCAAGCAGTCTGCTTCAGCTGAGCAAGGAGGTGTGCTCTAGTGCCCCTGGCTTCTGGCCTGGGTCACTACAGGCAAGTGGCTGCATTTCTGGAATCAAAAATGAATGTCTGTTCATTTGCAATCCATGCAGTTTAGATTAACCTGCGAAGATTGAATTGATGCAGCCTCAGGCTTTTTGACTGACTGTACTTAGCCCAGCAGTCCAAGCTGTCTGTCCACACACACCTCTGCTCACTTCTGCTCCACTTCTGGCATCTGTCCCTGTACCTGTTTGTTTCATGGCCTTGTTGGTGAAACTGCCAAATGAGATGCTGTGGTCTCAAGAGTTTTTTAAAATTAAAAATAATTAAAAAAATAAATACCATCTGGTTCTCTGGTTTTCTGCTTAATAAAATTGAAGTACTTTGAAAGGAAATTACCACAATATCATGGTTATAAAGATAAAAGAAGAAAAGAATGCTAAGAAGTGTGTGTGGGGGGGGGAGGGTTAAAAGGAACAAAGCAAATAGGAAAAAATATACATGGGCCTCCAGCCAAGTGTGTAGGTTGCTACTTCTTTTTGATAGTCAACCCAAGATTCTAGGAACCAAAGAAAACACCTGTTCCCTTTCATGGTGCTAATTTTCCACAATTCAAATTCCATATGAGAATTTTGTCCCACATTTTCCCACCCCAAAATGTTTTAAAGCTTTGTTCACATAATGAATGGCAGTCACAGCTACTCAGGAGTGGAGCAGAGGGCCTCAGACTGTCTAATTCTTTTCCTTCATAAGCAATATAGAAACTTTCACACTATGCTGTTTAAAAAAGATTAAAACCTTTTCTTATTGACATTAGATTTGTGTAACATAGGTGTATGATGCTCCGTCAATGGCAGATATAACAAAGAAAATAGAATGACAAAGACTGCTACAAATTATTTTGCAGTATATCCGTCTGTCATACGACACCAAGCCAGATTCGCTGCTTCATCTCATGGTGAAAGACTGGCAACTGGAACTCCCCAAACTTTTAATCTCTGTCCATGGGGGCCTTCAAAACTTTGAATTACAACCTAAATTGAAGCAAGTATTTGGGAAAGGCCTGATCAAGGCTGCCATGACAACAGGGGCCTGGATTTTCACTGGAGGAGTTAGTACTGGTAAGAACTGACCACCCTCGAAATTTGACTTATGAACTGAATGTTTTCACCTCCCATTGTTTCTCATTAGTAACACATGCATGAATGATGCATAGGCTACAGTCCCATGGACCACTGGGCTTTTCTACACATAAGCACCGCAGCACCAGGTGCTTTGAAAAGTACCCAGCACTGCAAGGCATGCAGCTGTATAAGTGGCACGTCAGCACGAAAAAATGGCGGAGCTGCGTTCTTTAACTAAACACCTCAGAGGTGCTTTAATTCCAAAGTGTACCACCGCAATTTTCTGTGGGCTGATGTGCATTTCCCCACTTATACAACTGCATGCAGAACAGTGTAGTGTGTCAGCTCATGTGTGGAGCAGACTCAATTAATCAAGTCTGCTCTGAAGCAGCGGATCTCCAGCACGTTGTGGGACAAAAAGGTACACGTATAAATGCCCATTATGATCATCCAGCCCAACCTCCTTGTAACAGAGATAACAGGACTTCTGTGAATTAACTCCCCTTTGCATTACAGTACATCTTGGCAGATTATCCAGTATTCATTTTATTTACGTAGAGTCCACCAGAAACATAGAAGAATTGCTCCACAGGTTAATTTCTGCCCACCCTCCTACACTCCCATCCCCTCCCCATCAAAAACTTACATCTTATTTCTTGTCTGAATGTGTCTGACTTCAACTCCCAGGCATAGGGATCTTGTTATAACTGGTCACGTCTACACGAGACACTGACTGCCCAATAGCCCATGACTATTGCACTGTAGCGTTGCATGGTAGGAAGTGTGACACGACACTACTGCACAGTAGTCACAAGCTACTGTGCAATCAGCATCATGAAAAGCTGTTCCTCGGTGTGACTGTGCAGTAACTTTGGTTACTGTGCAGTCATTTAGCATTGTTTTATACAAGTACTAAATGACTGAGCAGTAATGACTTTGCAGTCACTGTCTCATGTAGACACAGCCACTGTCTTCTAAATAATGAAGAGTCCTCTGCTCCCAGATTTCTGTTTCCTGTGCAGGTGCTTACAGACTTCTTGTTAAGCTTAACAAAATCATGGATCCACTTTGAATCCTCCATTGTAAAGCATGTTTTCCAAATCTTTGATCATCCTCGTGGCTCTGCTCTGGACCCCTCCAGTTTTTTCAGTTTCCTTTAATTGTGAACACCAGAACTGGATGTTGTATTCTAGAAATGGTGCCAAATGCAGTGGGACTCTAACCCCTCCACTTTCTCTCAGGGGTCCCTGATGTACATATCCAAGGACCACATTAACTTTGTTTGGGCACAGCATTTCATTGAAAGTTCATATTCAGCTGGTTATCCATCATGATCCCAAGTCTTTTTTTTGGAGTTGTTGCCTCCTAGATAAGCATGGCCTATATTATTTGTCCCAAGGTGCATGGCTTTACATTTAGCTGCACTAAAACACGTTGTTTGCATTCTCTCAACTTACCAAGTGACCAGAAAGCTCTGTAAACTTTGTTTGATTTGAAAAAAAAATTATCAGTGATGATTTTATGTTTTTGTCTAGATACTAATAAAAACAGGGTTTCAAAGTGCAGGGCAAGGAACAGTCCCCATAGGACCCCAGCTAGGAAAACACCTTGATGATTCCCTATTTGCAGTTACATTTTGAGACTTGTAAATTAGCAAGTGTTTAATCCATTTAACATGTGTCCTGTTGAGTTTGAAGGAAATGGAAACAAATTGGATGTCATTTTCAACCATAATATTTTTAAGTACCTAGTTTCTTCAACTACAATGTATTTTTATAGCTCATTATTTTGTATGCAAAGACACCCATCCCAGATTATTATGACTGCAGGCAGACCTCTGGAACTGCATGGAGCCCCTCTGCCATGTGTTTGTAAGTGTTTCCTCATAGCACCCCCCACAACACAGAGATGCTGATTGCTCTTAATGAGACCTATTTTATGTAAAGAAATGTTTACTTTTTTACTATTTAGTTTTCTGCCTTGAAAGGACTTAAAAAATTACATATGTGCTTAAATTGGCATACTGTGAATAAAATAATTGAGTTCAGTAGTTAAGTCTTTGCAAGGCTTGGACCTAAGTGACACCACTGTGGTTTCATGCAGGGGTTTGCTCCCACACACTACAAAATAAGATCAGGGCCTAAAAAGGCAATTGGGATACAGATGGCTTCTCTTCCTAGACTCTACTATTACAAAATGTCGTATAGAGGATGTCTGTGCTACAGATTGCAGTATAGGGCAGGAATACCAGAAACAGCTTTATACAAGCTACTGTCTGTATTTGGGAGTGCTGGCTGCAGTCCAGCCACAGCAGCACAGAGCTTAGTGAGGGCTAATTTACTCAGCCAAGAGGCAGGTATCAAACTATTTGCCAGCATTTGCCTTTTAAGTCTTAAAAGGGTCAAGAATGAATTTAACTGCATTGTGCCTATAGGTGTAATTCGCCATGTTGGAGATGCCTTGAAGGATCATTCTTCCAAGTCCAGAGGACGCATATGTGCCATAGGAATCGCACCATGGGGTATTGTAGAAAACAAGGAGGATCTGCTTGGGAAAGATGTAAGTTTCTTCTCTAATAAAATCCCTCTGTAGTCAGATATTATTCTTGTCAACCATAGAATAAAGGACATGATTTATCTGTTTTCAGTTTGTGCATGTTTGTGTTTTCACTGTGTCCAAAATGTATCAAGAGATAATGTTAATGTGTGTTCTGGAATTGATGTTTTGCTAAAGAAAGAAGAGGTAGGCAATACTAACTGGGTGGGGACTCTGTCTCATTTATAGAGGGTAAAGAAAGGACCCTGTAGGTGTTAACTTTAATCCCAGGAAGGAGAAAATATGAAACGTTGACATAAGGATTAATGGATGATGGTTAAAAATGGGGCTATATGAATTCATGGTGATAGATCTATTTATGGCTATTGAACAGAACAGTTGAAGATGTTTCCTCTGACATCTCTAAACCAATAATGGTGGATACCAGGAAGAGTATGGAATAGGGAATAGATCACTCCAGTTTGATGTTCTCCCTCTGTAGCATACATCCATGTCACAGTCAGAGGCAATTTACTGGGCTTGATGGAGCATTTGTCTGACCCATTATGGCACTTACATTCTTATGATTTCAATCTTGAAACCCATAATATTGCACATGACTGTCTAATATCTCAGGTGCTTACACCTTCATGACACACAGGACAATTCATGCAAACTGAGAAGCATGCATTGTTTTCAGTGCAGCTAATGAAGTAATAATTGTTTTAGAGATACTTGTACTTTTGGTTGCTGTTGAGGAGAAAGGGTTTTAAAAAAAACATCATTATGCACAAACTGAAAACATCATTATACATACATCTTATTTGCTGTCTGGTCAACAAAAATAAGTACAGTGTATAGAGCTAAGCAGATCCAATTTAGTGAAAGGGGAATGGGGTGCAGGGCTTCTTTTGGTATAGGGGAACGTCTCGGGTTCTAACACCCACGTTATTAATCAAGTACTTGGTTAGTAAATGATGAAGGCCCTTGCATGTGTACAGAATGGTTGTTGAGTGTGAATATTGTGAGCTCCAGGTGTTAAAGAAGGGGAATTCTTTTTTAATGGAGGAAGCAAATACATAATACAGTGATTATGAAGAGTGGATTAATAATTGGCAAGGAACACATGAGGAAGCACACAAATATGACTCCCATTCTCTGGGGAATGTCTGAAAGTCATATGGCTGTGAATAGCTAAAGAGAGAGAGAATCTCCTTTATACCATACTGTACTCTAAAGGCCTGCACTGCTAGATTCTTTCTGTGATAATGTACATGCTGGTATTGGGAACTGTGGCAGTGAATTTGCAACACATGTATTAGTAGCAAATAAAGCCATCCCTCTCCCTCTTTCACTCATGGTATCCTTATCTATTTGACAGGTGACAAGAGTTTACCAGACAATGTCAAACCCTCTCAGTAAGCTCTCTGTCCTGAACAGTTCTCACACACACTTCATCCTAGCAGACAATGGCACACTGGGCAAATATGGAGCTGAAGTTAAATTGCGACGTCAATTGGAGAAACACATCTCCCTTCAGAAAATTAACACACGTAAGTGCTGTGGGAATTTTCAAACAATCTGTAAACACAGTATCGTGAAGGAAGTGTGATTAAAACAATTAGTGTTAATTATAAAATCAAATAATTGAAATAATAAATTTAATATTGTGGGATTGTAATTTGATTTTTTTTTTGCCAGATGTTTACTGAAATGTTTAATTATACCAATGTAATTGAAACATAAAATATGCTTCCTCATTATGAATACTGAACAGCTGATTCTTAGCAGGATGGAATATGCAGAAGAGTAAGGATCTAAAATGGGAAAGAGAAGTTGAGAAATAATATGGAGAAAATTCAAAGACGTGAGACTTTAAGGGAAGAGATGGGGCAAAGGCAAAGGAAGATGAAAGTATTTGTCTGCTACCAGACAGTGTTCAAAGACATCATTTAATGCCCAGCAGGGACAGATATTTCATCTAATTCACATTTACTAGCATTCTGTGACTGTTGGTGGTTCCTGTTTCCAAGAATTTGTGCCATCATTTTTTATTTGTGTTATATGTATTCTTTCCCTTGAGTTTCGCTGTACATGTCACGCTCAAAATTCTCTCCTAATTAATCAATCAATCAAAGATTTGGCTATTTAATAAAGCCACCTCCAGAAGATTTGGTTTAAGATTTTCATTTCTAAAGTGTTGTGCTCTTTAGTCCTTCCCTTTCTAAATCATTTATCAAATGTATTTCTATAATTTCTCCTGAGAGAGTTCTTTGCTAGTTTTTCTTCTCCATTAACTCTTTTCTACCACCCTGATTACTGTAAATCTTAAACATCTTAAAGAACTAAATAAAAGAACACAGGTAAGTTTTCGTATGATTGTGCAACAGTAATGATTTTTATTTTAAATAAAATAATGATTACATAATGGTTCAAAAGGGCAAGGTGGATATTTACAACTGAATCCAGCACAAAAGGAAAACTGGCATATTATTTAAAGATTTTCCTGCTTCCTCTTTGGCATATCATTTGTTTGAGTCTCTCAGGTCTGTTATCAGAAGACTGAGAGCATAGAGACAAAACATTTTAAGTATCTGTCCCGTATTTGACAATTTTACAAAATCCAGAAATGGATTTCTGAGTTCTTTCAAGTAACTAGACTTGTCTATGAAATCTATGAGTCTTTCCATTAGGGCTGGAAGGGCCCTTGCGAGATCATTTGATCCAGCCCCCTGCTCCATTTTAATCAGTAAATATTAATGATAATTAGTGTTACCTCCATTCAGAAATCAAGCCTAAAGCATCTGTGTTGTCCACTAGTAACCAAAACATTCTGGAAATACTTACCCTATTGCTTTTCTCCTATTGCTTTTCTCCTGTAGCAGACAGAATGAACTGAACAAGGCCTGAACAGTGGTTCATGTTTTTTAGTACTGTGATGTATGTGTGTGTTTCTCTTTCAAGCACTTGCACACACTTATAAAGGGGATAATCTAACTATATTTTTGTTATCTTGGCCATCAGCAGACACTCATCTGCAGGTGTATGACATGAGAGAAGTGTAGTACTCATAAAACAAATCATCAGTTCAGGAGAAATGGAACTAAGGGCCTAAGAGACAAGACATGCTGCATAAATTTCTTTTATAAGCTTTGGGGGATTTGTTTGTTTTGTTTCTTGTTTAACTGGTGGTTTTGCCCTCTAAAGACCAAAGCTGTTAATCTGAAAATGTACAGGAGTTAAGAGCATGTTGTGTGAAGGGCTTTGGTCCACTTACTACCACACCATAAAAATATTACCACTGTAAGTGGCACTGATTGGCACCCCTGTTGAAAGTTTTGCCAGGAATGGGTAAGGATTTAATGGCCATAGAGGCTGCACCAGTCTCTGTGCTCCCTCCAGCTCAGAGACGGGACAAAGCTAGTGGCTGGCCAGTCTACAGGAAACTAGTGCTGTCCAATCCATGTCATGGCTGATCTTCAGAAAAAGGAATGAAATTGACAGGACTGAAAATGTAGGTATCTTTCATAGGTTCTCAATTAGCTTTACTAGAAAACTAGATAAGTGTAACCTTTTTATGTTAAGTTGGTCAAGAATTAAAAACGGAGTCAACTTATATGTGATGGCATTGGCTTTACATTTTCTCGTGCTGTAAGTGATCATTTGACCAAGATTGCAGTGACCATGTGACCTGTGGGCTTCCCTTTGTCATCCTATGCCTGGAGATCATAGTGAGGCAGGGACAACAAAGGGATGCTCAATTGTCATCTCATGCATCGGCCAGACATTTCAGTTTGACAAGGAAGAGACCAAGCTTACATGTCTGTCTTATAAGAAAGCATAGGCAAATGTCGTCTTACTAAAGACATGATGTATAAGTAACAAACAAGAGACAAAGTAGCAAAAAGACAGTAGGTGAGAGACATCACAAAATTAACTGGGCCAACAAGGTCATAGAGTAAGCAGAGCAAATCCATTTGTAAATCTAACAAGATACCCATCTAACTGAGGCTGCATACACATAATCAAATGACCTGGGAGAATTTTCCTGGTAGAAAAACTTACCAGGAGATGCCTGAGCAGACATTTGAATGCTGAGCCCTTGAAAAGCAGAGAGCTTGCAGTGCTGACAGGGATGGATTAACCATTTAGTAGGCCCTAAGCAAACAAACTCATGGGCCCCACTTTTTTCACTCAATTATAATATGTAAAATAAGCACAACTGGACCCCTTCGTTATTTAGGGCCCCAGGCATGTGCCTAGTTTTCCTATGCATTAATCCAACCCTGAGTGGATGCTCCCGGGAGGCATGTATCCATATCTCAGCATGCTCAGAAGTCTTCCTCAATCTGCCAAGAGACAGAATGGCAGCAGTACACAAGGATTTAGGCATGCCTACATGTGATGCACATTATCTTAATGCACATTAAGGCGATTTAGGCTCTCATCTACACGTGCGTACGTTAAAGGACATTAACATCATGTGTGTGGACTGATGTGGGACTAAAATTAATCCCAAATTAGTCCATACACACTGTTAATGTGCTTTAATGCATCTACATGTGTGTTAATGTGTTTTAGCTGTTTGCACCTACATTTGATACCTGTAAAAGCAAGGTGCAAATAACCTAAAATCGCCATTTGTAAGGTACATTAAGGGCACGCACATGTAGATGCCCTTAATAATGCACCTTAAATTGTGCTAAAGTGCCTTAAATCAGCTCATGTAGACATGCTCAAGGTAGCCCTGATTGACTGACCCAGACTGCTCAGCATCTGTGTCTCCCTGCAGCTCCATGCCGAGTCCCACAGGGAAGGGGGCATGTTCTGGTCCCTGCTTGGCTGGATCAGCAGAATCCAGTGAGCAACAAAGTCTGGGGGAGGGGAGGGAAGGGAAAGCAGAAGCAAAGCATCCTGGGAGCCCAGAGGACAGTACTGTGCCTTCTCTCAGGAGAAACTGAATGTGTTATGTTGCCTGAGATTGCAAAACAGATCACCACTTGAGTGAATAGTAAGTAGAAGACCCAAAGGAAGTAAGTTTACATGAAGATGGGTTGGGAGGCATTTTGCTTCTGTCCTTTGGAGCAGTGAAGCAGCATAGGGATATTTATCAAGTTATTGCATAGTATGGCTAACTCCATCTTTTTTCCTGAAACTCCCAAACTGTTATGGCCTACACTGAAGCCATAAACACATACAATGCATGTATTCCCCTCTCTGTAATGAACCCTGACACTGTTGGAGTTTAATAGCATGTCTGGTTTGTTCTTTAGGACTGGGACAAGGTGTGCCTGTAGTTGGGCTCATAGTTGAAGGAGGTCCCAATGTGATCTCAATTGTGTTGGAATGTCTGCAAGAAGAGCCCCCTCTCCCCGTGGTGATCTGTGATGGCAGCGGACGAGCATCTGACATTCTGTCCTTTGCGCACAAATACTCAGAAGAAGGGGGGTAAGATTTTACAGGAGCTGGTAATGCCTCAAGGCATGGATGGGGCAATAATTGTGCTGTCTTTAATCCAGGCTTCAATGCCTGTTTTAACAGGAAAGGGGCAAAATGTTCACAAAAAATGCTGCCCTGTGTTTCACTAGGCACTAGCTACCAGTTGGATTCCTGCCCAAGCAGTGGTGACTAAAAGTTGTTACCACCTGATGGGATATTTTGACACACTGAAATGAGTTGAGTCCAACCCTTATTTGATGAATTAATTAGCACTGCTGAATGGCCTCCCTGAAGCATTGTATGGCTGTAATTAAATTGGTTCCAGTTTAGGACACAGACCCTCTGGAGCAGTGCAGTGTGCTTAGTGTACTCTCCTGGAAAGTGAGAAAGGTGACTTTTTGTACTCTTTCAGGATGAGAAAGGAATTGAATCCACATCCCGCTTCCTGTATGAGTTTTCTCAACACTAGGTTACTGAAAGGGTCACTATCACAGAAGAGTGAACCATATGATTTAAATGTGGTTTTCAGTCTCACATAGACACCTGCAATCAGGAGAGAAGTGGGATTTGAGAAATACCCATCCCTTTGGTGTTTTCTGTTGTCAGGTGTAGGCATTTTCCTGCCCTGTGTGCTCCTGTTATGAATCCCAAAACTCGAGGCTCCTAATGCAGGGAGCCTGTTCTAATGTGCTGTAATTCCAGTGCATTAGAGAAGACTTGATTAATTAACATGCTCCAGCAGCCTCCAGCATCATGTGTATCAGCATCCCTGTGCTGAAAAATGGTGGCAGGGAGCTTTGAACTTAAGCTCATTCAACGTACCCCCACATGCCTTCCAGAGCACATGTATAAATGCTCTGGGGGCCTAAGACTCGCATTCAAAGTATAAAAAATGTAAAGAATGTACCTAAGTAGCATGTGTGAATTCCTCACCCAGTATTCAGCACTGCCACCCCTAAGTCCATTTTTAGTTCTGGCCTTCAATGCATACAATATTTATTACTTTTTACATAGTAAAAGTCTAAGCCCATCAATTTACTGAAGCTGCTAATATTTTTGATTCAGCATCTTATTACTGACAGTTTTACCCTCATTTCCCTATTTTGAATAAAAGTTCCTTTTTTCCCCTCAGCCATGTTTTCAGTCTCCTCAAATATAATTGAAGTAACTTATCAGAAATCAGTCTACCTGATACCTATCTGCTGTATGGCTGTCTTTTCCAGTGAGTGCAACACTAGGTCCGTTTTTTCCATCAGATAACAATGGTAAGATAAGTGTGATGAGGCTAGAGGGCTAAAGCTCAATAACGAGCAATCTTTGGAATCCCTAGAAAAAATAACTTTCTGATGAGTTCTGAATTTTACTGAAGTTAGCAGCTTCAGCATTCTCATTACTCTCTGAATGCCTCCTAGGAATATTTGACATCTTCTTGGAAATAAAAGTATTTTTTGAAAAAAAGTGGTGGAGGTTAGAGGGTTCACATTTCATCTTGCTTTAACAAGTCAAATCAAATCATTAAAAATGTTCTGAAGTGGTTTCAGATAGATTTTTTTTTTGTTTTATGGGGTTTTTTTTATTTGATGTGTTAATAGGCCTATAACATGAGCTTTGAGGTACCTTGGCAACATTTAAGATCATAGTCCACATACAAATCCAATCTAGCAGCCATAATACAATAATTTATTATTATAAATTAAATCTCTTATTCCGGAGGCCAGATCTGGAGACCAGATCATGGGGGTTGGTAGCTCACCCATGTCAAAAATTTCAATTACAGTCTACAAGAGAAGAAAGCAGATGGAAACCATGGTCTGAAAGCTTTTGAAGTTGGAACAGGCAATGATGCATAAACCATAAAGTGAAGATGATGATTATGACAAAAGGTTATAAAAAATAAAAAAAATTCAAATTAATCTTCCACAGCGAAGCCAGGTTCAACTAGTAGAAATTAACATTCTGGCAGCAAAATATCTTTCATTCCATTTTTTCTAAAATCCCATTCCATAAGGTGAATGCAGGAGGCTTTGCAGTATTATGAGGTGAAGTTAGTGGTCTTGTGAGACATCCTGTTGAGATCCTTAGAGACTGAAATCCTTGATTCATCTTCACAAGGAGGTATATGGGTGCATATATTCATGCACTTTACTGGGGAGTTGACTAATTAGCTCCACAGTAAAGCATCACAGTCTAAACATGCGTTGGTATTAGGGCACAGTAAATTAATTAACTCCACCATAGGATAGTACTGTCAGGGAAAGTACTGTCCTATGGTGGCATAATTTACTCTGTTGAAATGCACATGTAGATGGTGACAGGGGCTGGCTGGGGCACAAAATTGCTAAAGTGTATGGGCTGCCTTCTGCCTAGCCCAATAATTCAGCACCTTCATGCCCCAGCCAGCCCCTCTGCCACCCAACGCTGCCACCTGGAGCCCAGGGCTGCTGTGCTCCAGCCCAAAGTGCTGTACTCCCAAGCTCATCTGTAGATGCTGTGCCCAGGAGCAGCTGACTCCAGCACGAACTGCACCAGAGTTTGTCACATCACCTTAATGGCACATGTAGATGCACCCAATATGTAGCAGCAATGAAAGGTCCCTGCACTGCTCTGCTTTAATACCCCTTACATCTCTGATTGAAAAGACCCCTCCCCCCCATGTCCTTGCAATCTTTTGGCCTCAGAACTAAGGTGCTCAGGAGCCAGTTTGGACCTGGACCTCTTTTGAAGTCTGTTAACTCATTTCCTTAATCCTTAATCTTACATTGATCAAATCCCCAGATTGTGGGTAAATTATAGATTCTCAACATGACAACACTTAGCTGGTATTAAAAAAATGTTTCTTTCTAAACTGTGGCATAAAATAGATTATTTCTGGTCATTTCTTCCTTGATCTTTCTTCTTTTTTCTTTCTCTTTCCATTTAGGGTAATAAGTGAATCTTTGAGAGACCAGCTTCTAGTCACCATTCAGAAAACCTTTAACTACAGCAGGAACCAGGCCCATCAGCTGTTTGTCATTCTCATGGAATGTATGAAGAAAAAGGAACTTGTAAGTGTCATAAAGGTCGTTCACAAAAGGCTTCTCTGTAATGCTATAGTGATTCTCAACCAGGGTGCCAAAAGATCCTTTGAAGGATGATGGGGAATGCTGTCCAATATTAGCACTGCTTGGTGTGTAGACACCTATTTATAATTTATAAAGTAAACAGAGATTTCAAATAGGAATCCATAATGTCAAAACCCCTGATTTATTGTAGTCTTTTTGAATTGTCTACAAAGAATGTCTCTATTATTTTTCCAAAGTAAAAAAATGAAGTGAAGACAAAGAGCTGGCAATTTCCAAGGGGTCCCTTGAGCCTAACAACAGGTGTTTTGAGTCTTAAAAAGCTGAAATCCATTGCTATAGTACAACACTGCCCCTCCTTTTAAATACTATTCTCAGATTTTACAATCTATCTTTTTTGTAGAGTGCTATAAATGTGCTATAAATGTTGCAAACATACATAGATCAGATACAATGGAGGGTGGAAAGATAATTGGAGAAAGGATTTCCAGAAGAAAAGAACTCCAAGGGGACATCTGAATGGAGAGTGGGCTGGGCCCTTATTTGTTCAACATTTTCAGCAATGACCTGGAAATGGAGGTGCACAGTGAAATCTCCAAGTTTGCAGAAGACACCAAATTATTCTGGGTGGTCGGATCCCAAGCTGATGGAGAGGGTTTGCAGAAATATCTCACCAAGCTAAATAAATGGGCAAAAAATTTGGTAGATGAACTTTAGCGTCAACAAGTGTAAGGTAACGCCCCAGGGTAAAAATGTATATGTACACAATGCTGGGTTCTGAACTAGCTGTTATGACTCAGGAGAGAAAGAGACCTTGGAGTTGTTGTAAATTGTTCTCTAAAACTATCAGTTCAGTGTGCAGTGGTGACCAAAAATCCAATTAAATGTTGAATATCATTAAGAAGGGAATGGAAAACAAAACAGAGAAAATAATTGTGCCGCTATACAAATCCAGGGTGTGCCCACATTTTGAATAGTGTGTATAGTTCTGGTCCCCACATATCAAAAAGGATGTAGCAGAATTAGAAAAGGTACAGATAAGGGCAACCAAAATGATAAGGAGTCTGAAGCAGTTGCCAGACCAGGAGAGACTAATACAACTAAGACTTCAGTTTGAAAAAGAGAAGGTTCAGGGGGCATATAATAGAGGTCTATAAAATCATGAAGGGTGGAGACCGGGGACCAAGTGAAACAGGGAACTGTTGTTCACCAAGTCCCAGAGTAACCCTTAGAACTAGGAGGCACCTGCTGAAATTAATAGGTGACAGGCTTAAAACTAACAGGTGGAAGTACTTTTTTATGCAACATGTAGTTAACTTGTGGAATTCATTGCTGCAGGAGGTGATAGAAACAGATAGCATAGTCAGATTAACAAAGGGACTGGATAAATTCATGGATGATAGATCTTTTAATGGCAATTGAACAGAATGGCTGGACATGTTTCCTCTGGCCTCTCTAAACCAATAAATGGTGGATGCCAGGGTGGGTATTGAATAGGGGATAGATCACCCTAGAGATATCTGGTTTGGTGCTCTCCCCATATAGCATCCACTTCTGCCACTGCTGGTGGCAGAATACTGAGCTACACGGACCATTGGTCTGACCCAGTAGGGTACTACTTATGTTCTTATGAGTCTACTTGCTCATACCAATAGGGAGTCATTTGTTTTGCACTTCATTATCAAGCAGTACTCTTTTGGTTGCTTGAAATGTCTACTTTGTCAGTGACACACTATAAGCATGTCATCTAACATAAACTGGCATTATGTGCAGAGAAATGTCACTAAAAACAGAGAACATACATGTTCTTTATTTTTAACTTCAGATTGCTTGATTCAGGCTTGCCATGGCAATTTTAAATAGGCTATCTGCACTTTTATTATGAGAGCTTAGAGTTTCAAAGATAAAATGAATACAGACATTTTGACCCAGACCTAATCCTGAAGTTTATACATATGATCCTATTTAGCCCTTTGTTAGACTGAAGGAAAGGGACTACTCATAGACTTAGATGTTAGTCATTGTGTGTAAAGGCAGCAGGTTCCATCTCCTGCTTCTTGCTTATATAGATGGCGCTGGGTCTTTAGTGATGGTTTTGCTTAAATACAATCAGGAAAGAACTTTAGAATTGGGTCCAGTTAATAAGTGAAGTTGAGGGGACGATTCCATGAGATCAGTTCTGCTGCCTTCGTCATAATCAGCAAGAGCTGCATCTGTGTAACTGAGCTCTGATTTTCTGGTGTGTGTCCGCATCAAAAGGATGCTTGCGTAGTATTGATATGCGTAGCACAACAAAGACACCACTTCAGACTTGATTGCACAAACACATTACAGAGCCCAAGTCAACATCATTATATTAATCAGCATCCAAACACCCACTAGGAAGCCTTCTCAGAATCCTTGGGTCGCACATTATACAAGTTATCTTTTTTATATAATCTGCCTCCAACAGTGAAAGCATCAATCAGTGAATTATTTGTCATTCCCTTTCCCTGCTGTCCCCAAAAATTGTAAGTTACAAAATGGGCATTTAGCAATTAGAGTAAATAATGGGAATTATGAGTCCAATTTTATCAGCTTAAATATTAATCCTGATGGCCCAGTTTGGGGATAAAGAGCAGCAAACAGAACATCCAGAAATCCAGTTCATCAAATCCCTCCACCAAATGAATGCTGTGTTCAGCATTGCCAGCTCTGTTCTCTATTATATTATAATACCCCTCTCATTAAATACAAAACAGGGTAGCAAAGACCTTGGAATTATAATATAGAGATGTAATGAATTTTAGAGACCTTAGCTTCCTTTTCCTGCTATATAGCTAGGCATTAGTGTTAGCATTTTAAAGACCTGATATTTTCCTCTAGATTCCAGACTTCAGCTGAGGCTCTTCCTTATGTGTTGTGCGGGCCAGGAGCGACCCGAGCCCTTTTTCGCGCTGCACGCGGGCTGTGGCCAGCAGCCCGGGCACGCCGGGTCGGAGAGGGAAGGCCGTCGAGCTGGAATTAGGCACAAACGCGTATCGGTAGTTTTAAAGATTGTTTACTTACACCGAGATGGCAGTGGTGTAGGCTGGAAAGCTTGCTTGAGTTGCGGTTACAGACAGACAACAAAACAAAACTCGAACCTGCAGGGCACGAGGGTACGTCGCAAAGGGTTCCGGCGACGGGAAGATGAAAAGATACGAGGGTACGTCACAAAGGGTTTCGGCGACGGGAAAAATAAACCTGCAGGACTCGAACCCGGGTAGAAGAGCTCTGAGGCCGGTCGTAAGGGCTCACACGAAGTTTGCTAGGCTCCGTGGGTCCGGTTCTCTTGCGCGTGGGAAGGGATACGTCTGGACTGCGCTCGGCGACGGGGAGAGGCTAGAGGTTGATCAGACCTCTGTTGCCTGCTTTAAATGCACTGGGTCCATAAGGATCCGCAGCACTTAGAGATCTTCACACAGCGTGAAGTCTCCTCCTCCCTTGTTCGTGGAGTCCTCCAACTTGGGCGGAAACCACTCAAGCCTCTTATACGGCTAGCAAGCCAATCACTAGCCGCCACGTGTGAATAATTTAGAACTGGCCAATAATGGGACTCGAATTAGCATACAAACGGCGGGAACTCTTTGCAGCTAGCATTTCTGTGCTGCAACAAAGAAATGCATCCTGCAAAGAAAGCTTCAAATTGGTGGGAAATTCTCCCTTGCACCGGGGTTCTCTTTTGCAGCAGAAAACTCCACCGTGCAAGGAAGCTGTAATTTAGCGGGGACAATTTAGCAGTGCCAAAGCACACAAAAACAAAAATCACACCCTTTGGGTTGTGACATGTGTGACACCATGAAAACTGTTCAATATTGTATATGGCCTTCAACAGCCACATTTAATGTGATCCCATATTCTGGCAGCTAGACAAGCACTCAGTCCTGTAATGTGAATCATGTCAGTGAACTGGGCCTATAAAGCTTGTTGTCGTGTCAGAGGGCATGTCCAGAAAATACTCACCCTGTATCCCTGATCTACTAATCCAATCATGAGGCAGAATTTCTAGGACTGGAGACAGGATTGGAGTGGAAACCTGTCCCACACTTGCACAGGATTTGTGGGGGTACACATAGACTGTGCTCCTCTAGAGACTGGCCTACTGTCACTCAACATTCACAGTTCTGGCTCAGGGCCATGACTTTTCATTTTTTAATAGTTATCTCAGTTGGCAAGGAGACAGCTGCATAAATTTCCATAAACTTTAACATAAAAATTAACTGCTTAAATGCTAGAAGAGCAATTTCCTGCTGGTGTCTTAGTAGTTTCCAGTATATCCCAAAAGTGTTTTCTTTTCAACATGTAATAATTCATTTTCAGAGGGACTCATCATTCCTAATATCAACCTTCCCCTGTTGCTTGGGGAGTTCAGCATTTGCTTTCATGAGAAAAGATGGCATTTCTGTTTTTATCTCAAATTTCTCAGGTTTTGATGTTGCTTAGTTCCCAGATTCCATTTTTCCCAGAGAAAGGCCACATTTTGGCATTATTGTTAATTTTTTTCTTTATGCTTACTCAAAAGAGCTGAGTAGAAACTGAATATTCGAAGCATTCAACCATACACAAATACTATTTTCTATATCATTTATAATGATTCTACATTATATAGCATTACTATGTAATATTATAACCATATATGATAGAAAAATCAGTATATCTTTCTTATAGCACATAGAAATATTTGTGGTCTAACAATATAAGGACATTAACCTTTGTTGCAGCACATCAAAGCCAAACATGTTTAGATTTCTGGGAAAGCATAAAAGTGCTGTTGATAGATTCACATTTGTGTGCTGCTTTTAAGTCTCAAGATTTTTTGCATGCTGTAGCCATACCTTCAATTAAAGTAGTTGATCTCTAAGCCTATTTACCCTTCCAGCTCTTACCTTGTAAAGCCAGTGTTTTCTGACCCAGTAGGAAGTCTATTAATATTTGAACGCTTGACCATACAGAAGTCAGTTCCTAAGAGAATTGTCAGAATAAATGAGAACTGAGTAAGGCCTTGCCTTAGTCGAACTGGTCAAAATTAAAAGGTCAAGTCAGAGAAGGCCTCATGTGGTGCACAGAAGTTAGGCAGTAATTAAGTAGAGGTGGCTGAAAGATTTGGATCAAACTGATTGTCCTGAGCAGGGTTATCATATGCATGACTGAGCAAGTCTTCTACCTCAGATGATTCCTTTATCACTTTGCCTACTTCATTGCAAAGGAATATAGTTTTTCCTGTGTCTCTTCTCTCCATTAAATGTCAGTGTAATGAACTCTTGTCCTTGAATATGTACAAAATCAATACAGGTCATCAGGAAAATTGTCATCCTTAAAGGTTAACACTAGGTTATACAAGAAAGGAAGATTTTATGTGGAGGTGAGTTTGTCAACCCTTAGTTCTATGTAGAATTTACATATAATTTTAATACCATTATATTGTCATGTATTTGAATCTACATTATATTATTTTCGTGTTCTTTTTTTTTCACTGCAGTGCTTCACATCACTTAACATTTCTGAAAGGCAGGGACGATGAACTTTTCTAAGTAACTGAACTAAACATTGATGCCAATGTTCAGTTTTGCTTACCTGTTTATCTACTTTGACAATGTATTCCTTACCTCACCTCCCAGATGTGTTAAATTTGATTTTTTTTTTAAAAGCTATCATTGATCTGTCAGGAGTAGTGTATCTGGGGGGACTGGAGGGGAATGCCTGGGGCAGCAGCCCCAGATGCTGCCTTTGAAGGGACTGCAAAAGCAGATGTTGCCACAGAAGTGACAGCAGTCAGCACAAGAGCCAGCACTGCCCTGGGCCTGGGCAGCACACAGCTTGCCTGGTGTGGAGTGGTACTGTTACAGATCTGCATGTTAGGTACTAGCTGGCTGGTCATAATACTAATGCATGTTAGGTATTAGAATGGGCTAAAAAGTGGTAGAAATTAACATGGTAACTAAGCCTTGCAATTCGGTCCATCTGCAGTATTTCAATGCCAAATTTCAGCAACATTTTGATTTATGTTTTATACCAGTTGCATTGTTGATCAAAAACCAGAGCACAGGTATCATGAAAGCTTTTATGCACTTTTATTTGCTGAAATCTGACATTCAAAGAAATATTTGCTTGCAAATGGGAATTATGAAAATGTCCAAACATTTAAAAAATATAAAATTTGTCTGTTCCCTTCTCTCCCTCTTTCTCTTTTAACTTCCTCCTGCATTTTTACTCATTCTCCTTGCACGTGTTTGGTTTTATGCTCTCCTTTAGATCACTGTGTTCCGTATGGGCTCTGAGGGACAGCAGGACATTGAGATGTCTATCTTAACTGCTCTGCTAAAAGGTGGGTTTACACAAGCACCGGGGAGGATACACACACCTTCTCCACATAAAATTCCACTTCCTCTGAGATACACTCTAAATGCCAAAGCTTCTGGCTGTCCTTATGAGTTCAGATAAGTAATCTAAAAAATGTTTGGTGTTTGGGTTCAGGTCAAATTAATGATATGCCAAGTAAGTATTTTCTCATAGCTTTTGCCTGAAGTTTTCACTTGGGCTGTACCTGTCATTCTTCTGGGGTTTCAACATTGAACGCCAGTTCTGAGCAGTATGAAAATGAAAATAACAGTGAAGAGATTCACCACATTTTTTTATGCTCAAGAGAAACAACTCAAGTATTGAAAGGCCTAACTGTTTCCCTCACCTTTGCTCTTGGGTTTGGCATTTTTTGCTGCAAAAACTGCTATAATAAAATTAATTCTGGGGGTTGATACCTGCTCACTTAACAAGGGACCTTCAGTAAGGATCCATAGGGTGGGACAAAAGATTGGAATTCCCACATGCATGATAAAGGGACCAGATTATAATCTGTGGACAGGAAGGGAAATAGTAGTAAGGATAAATTCAGATGGGCTGGAAGGAAGAAAGGGCCTTTCAAAAGAACTAAGTCCCAGGAAACATCTAGATTTCTTGGTGTGGATTCTTTGCAGGAAGAGGGGATTTAATATGGAGTGGCAGCAGTCACTATGGCCTCTCACCCAAATTTAGCTTAGTCCCTTAAACTTTCCAAAAAATAATACACAAAATTCAACATTATAAAATAATACAATAATATAAAATCCCATCCCTGAGCCATGGAATCCATTTCCAATAATCCCCTAGTTATTGATTTTGACCTTTCATGTATGAAAGGTCATGAAAAAATGAAATGTAATGAAAAATGTAATGAAAAAAATAGGTATAAAAGTAAAGTTTGGCTGCTTTGTGCACATCCTTTCATAGCATCTGGTGAAGTGAGCTTCAGCCCACAAAAATTTGTGCTAGATATAGACATCTCTACTTTGGTTAGCCAGAAGGTGCAAATCTACCCTGCCTTCTGCAATTTATGAATCAGATGGGTGATTCATAGGGAGGAAGGATTATATGGCAGTGGGAAATTGGCTGGATCTCCTCACTGCTTTCTGTACAAAGATTTAAAATAATTCAACTATTATGAAGTCTGGAAATGAGTAATGTTGGCTTTGGCTGCTAACTACAGTACATCCTATTGAAGCGCACTCTCCACTTTAACACTTCTATAATGTAGACTTTTTTCTGAGTGGGGCCAGAACCTTTCAAGATTATTTTGTCATTTCTCATTTATAATGTTTGGGTTCAAGTATGACAAGCATCCTTTACAGTTTATACTTCATAATATTTGTTTAAGTAACATACACAGAAAGTAGTGCTGTACAACTAATGCTAGCTGAGGCAGCCATGCTAACACTCTTGCTAATACAAGTAAGGGAGAAAAGTTCCTGGTGAGTGGCAGAGAACACAGGAGAACTTTTATTACTTGCAATTTTGAAAGAATTATTGGGTTAAATTTCAACAAAGCAGCAGGGTTCTGACTTTAGTAGAACTACTTGCATCTTCACCAGTGATAGAACAGGTCTGTTGTTTTCTAATTGCTAGAAAATTAAATTACAGTGCTGTCCTGCCTCATTGTTCACATGAAGCTTGAAATACCAGATTCTGGTTTCTGTTTCCTTAGGCACCAATGCATCTGCACCAGATCAGCTGAGCTTGGCATTGGCCTGGAATCGCGTAGACATTGCACGTAGCCAAATCTTTGTCTTTGGACATCACTGGCCGGTAAAACTGTTTTTCCCAGATGATTTAAATTGACTTTAACAATTTAGAGCAAGTACCAAATGTCCCTTTCCTGACAGTGACAGTTGTCAGGTTGAATTCTTTTGCTATTATGTGTTGGGGTCTTATTGGAATATTCCAGGAGTATTGCCTGCTGCCTGTTTGTTATTTGCAAAAAATAAAGTTAATAACAGAGTCTTTCCATACACTTTTGAAATGAAAATCTGTAGCACAAAATTAGCAAATACACTAACTGAAGATTTCTTTATGGGATTTCAGGCAAGAAACACAATTATGGAAAATCATCTGGGGTATCAGTAGTATTGATCATTTGCAAAGAACTTCATCTTCTAGGAATTCTGCATAGCCTTCTGGCAACCTGAACATAACTAACTGCTAATAACCTTCAGGAGGGCTATTATTTACCAAGTTACTGAGGAAGAATTGAATGCCTCACTTCTTTAGGCAGCACTGAAAATTCCAAACTGAATTAATAGGGCAAGATCATGACCACCAAAAGAAGAGTGGTAATGAAAATCATGCCGTTATTATACAGGATAGTAGCAAATGAATCTAGGGACAGAGTTTTTCAAAAGTTCCTGAGGCTTTGAAATGGGACTTTTGTTTCCAACTCATTTACAATTTAATACTGCCCCTGCTGAAGTGAGGATAGAACTCTGAGTACTTCTGAAAATTGCACCCGCTGGATTCATTCATGTAACTAAAAAAAGTCTATTTAAACCAGTTTTGTAGCTTGCCGCACCGATGCTTTTTGCTTTACTGCACCTACCAGCTGGTGTCAAATTGCTACAAAGTGTTCTGAGGAATAGGGTTGAAAGATGAAATCCATTAGAGGAGGTTTTGTTTTATTTTGTTTTGTTTTTTAATCAGATGTCTTTCCTGAAATTAAATATAATACAATGGCACTCAGTAAATACTTTCCATAGACATTACATACTACTCTGAGCTTTACTTCCTTTAGAAACCTCAGCAGTTTAAACACTCCTGCACATTATGTTTTATTTCTTCCTTCACAATAATGGGATGTTTCCAATACTCAAAGGCCATTAGCAGCGTTTTACAGAGTGTATTTAGAGATTCTAAACAATACAAAGTGTTATTACTATTGTTGTTGTTATTGGTGCTATTGTTACTATAATTATTACTACTACTATAATTATTAGTGCAGTTTGTTACAGAAAGGATTCCAATCTCCATATTATTGTGCTTATATTAAAAAAAAATACCAACTGGCATAGACATCCTATTTCTCCTCTGTCCTACTTCATCCTCTTACTTGTCAACAAATAGTGAGCCAATTTTAGTTCATTAGCATTTCAACTATATGAATTCTTAATTTAGTATTTGATGGGAGATAGACACTTTTTTGTCCTGTTTTGTGAGTGTTTTCATGGTAGAAGAATTTTATGGTGGGTGGGACAGAGCAAACTGCAGTACCTTTGAACAAGAGACAATAAATGTTATCCTAGCATTCTCTGCACTGTGCACAAGTCACTTGTGGTCTAGCACATGTGTGAGAAGAGGTTACTTCCAAGGGCAAACTGAAGTTCAGCCTTCCAAACTAGGGACAAGTAGATTCAACAATTCTTGTTGGAAGAGAGATAAATATAAACTTGATCTCCAGCATGAAAATGAGCTACACTTCCCTCTTTGATCCTACCCCTGATACATGTGTCGTTTAATGGCCTTGAAGCACATACACTAACCTTGTTCCCTTCTCCTCATTTTGCTCATTGGTTTTTACTTTTCACTTTGGCAAACCACTGTTTGGCTAAAGGGGAAAAAGAAGGTAAAATGCCTGGACATACTCAACATCTTCCCAGATGTTGCACTTGCTGCTGTTTGAAGTCTCAAACTAACCTGCCTACCATAAAATGTTGGTGTTGTCTCACTTTTAGTGCTATTCCTTATGCTATTGCTTATCAGAAATTTTAAAAATCACACAACTGAGGCAATGGGAAGAATTATTTACACCGAGGGAATGAATCCCATAGCATTTTAAGTGTATTGCAGGATTGTTGTGCCTCATGTTCAGGGGAAAAAAGATGGAGTAGGCAGAGAATTCACTGTATCCTAGGCATTGTCTTTTCAACTATTTTCCTTTTGCAAGGGCAAATCTTTCAATATGCCAAGGCCCAGATACAGAATATAATTTTCTCCTGCTTGTATTGTATTGTTCTTCTGGGTGGGCAACAGGAGTAGCAACAGAAATAGGAATTGGGGCACTCTGTACCTTTCTATTGTCTGTCTCAGCTAAAAGATATCCAAATTTGCTAGCTATGGCAGTGTCTCATCTACCTCTTGTGTTCCCCGTAGGGAATAAATGGAGTGCCACATAGAAAGTAGTGGTAATATTTCCCATGACACATTCTGTCACTGTACTGTACGGTCTCAATTTTGTTCATTATTCAACATAGCCTTTAGGAAGCCTGGCAGCTACAGATGGCACAGCACTAGAGAAGGAGAAGAAATCCCCAGGAGCTCAAACTAAAGCACCCAGAGGGAAAGGAAAAGGGAAGAAAAAGGGAGGAAAAGCAAAAGAGGAGCCAGAAGAAGAAATGGATCCACGGAAGATTGAACTACTGAATTGGGTGAGATGAAAGTGGGATCCGCCTTTGAGTTGTTGCTCTTTGATCTTGTTTGTCTTGTTCCTGTGTCCCACCTATTTCATTTACACATTCATACACACTGCCTATTTTAAAGCCAAATTAGAGAGTAAATGCAGTACCAGCCCTTGAATATTCTTCAGGGTCCTGAAGGTAAAGAGAAAAGGCATTTGATCCCATGGAGGATGAATGGGATTAATTTTAGATGAGGCACAAGTGTTATTCCTAGGTACTGGGAGTACTTCCAGTCATGAGAGCTCTTTTATGTACTAAATGTATCTACTGAGAGTAGGCTTAGTGTAGATGTTTGCACAAGCATTTCTATTCCAAGTAGTCATTTTCACTTGCTTGTAATGCTTATAACTTTTCCAGTCTCTTTCTCTGTCTGCTTTTTTGACAGGTTCATTTTCAGTTCATAGCTCATGAATTCGTTTGTTATAAAATGGACTAGGTTCTGAATTGCAGCTACAGATATGAACTGCTCACTTGCCCACTGTTCGCATTGCTTGTTTCCATGTTCTCTGTTCTGCATTTGCAGGTCAATTCTCTGGAGCAGGCTATGCTGGATGCACTAGTATTGGATCGAGTTGATTTTGTGAAACTCCTGATTGAAAATGGAGTGAACATGCAATGCTTTCTTACTATTCCTCGACTAGAAGAGCTTTATAATACTGTGAGTGAGCTGTGATCATAAAAGGCACTGTAGCAAATTTTACTACTGTGTTTGTGTTTAAACACGGTACCTTTCCCTCTCTTCTCTTCCAGTAATTGCCAAAAACAGTCCATGAAAAGCTGGTAGCAGTGACAGAACATGGAAGTAGGATAGTGCTAGAGGGAGCCACTCTAATAACTCATGGTTTGATAACAGTTTCAGACACACACAGTATTAGTTATGGCTAAGCTTGTTGCCATTTTTCAAAGCTCCAATGGTTTATCATGTATTTACAAAAGAATATTAAGAACTGTCAAGGTTATTTTTATTTCAGTCAGGGTATTTTTATTTTGCCTTCCTCAGAAGCATTGGGCATTGGCTGCAGCCAGGGTGGGGATCTTGACTTGGGTATGCAAGTGCTCCTGCTGCGACTTAAACCTGGAAGTTCCTAGCCAGAGGGCCTTGCCCCTCCACTCAGGGTCAAGCTGATTGCTGTACTTGGGGTTAGGATAGAATTGTACCCATTGTCAAACTTGCGGGGGGAGGGTTGCTGTCCTCTGTAGTGGAAGGCATGGCCCTCTTCCTTGGACCTTTGAGCATATTTTAACAACGCTTGCAGCAGCAGCAGGACACTGGCTATTGTCGTCCTCCTGGGTTACCTGTGGCAGGTTAGGTGTTATGCCTTGTGGTTGTGTCAGGGTTGACTGTTGTTTTACTAATAGGTTAGACAATGGATTTGGGATAATCCTGCCTCTGGGAGGGGATTGTACTAGATGACATCTAAAGGTCCCATCCAGCCCTATTTTCCTGTAATTCTATAATTTTTTTATTAAAATCATAGTATTAATCAATAGGTGTGGACTTTTCAGCTGCTTATTCTTTTCTTCTTTTCTTCATCACTGAAAATAATAATAAAAAAGTGCTTCTGGAGGAACTCCCTCCCCCCCCCCCCCCCAAGGTTTCTGGGAGACCCCCCCCCCCCCCCCCCCCCCCATAGGCCACAAAGCACATTATGTATTCTATTTTATGTTGAAGAAATTAAGGCATAGAGGCAAAATGACTTGGCCTCACATCACCCAATGTTTTAGTGACAGAACCAGGATTGGAAACCAGATCTTCCAAGGCCCAGTCCAGTGCTCTGTGCACTAGATCAGTGGTTCTCAATCTTTTTTTGCCAGGACCCTTTTTAACCAGGACCCATTTGTAAACATTGGCCAGCCCCAATCCAGTAAATAGTTTAAGTAGAACACAGCCCCCTGGCCCTGCCGGCACTTCTCACTCCTGACCTTCTGCCCCCCACCCCTAGGCCCTAGCCCCTCAGTGTGTGGGGCCGGAGGGGTTGGGCGTGGGGCATGGGGGGGTGGGGGGGTCCTAAGCAGCCCCTTGCAGGCTGGAACTCTGCCAGCCTGCAGGGAAAACCCACAGTTTTCCATGTTTTCCTACTTAAAGGAGAATCAGTTTTTAAAATTTGTTTGTGATCCTTTCATCTGTTCTTGCAACCCACTTTTGGGTCATGACCCACAGGTTGAGAAACACTTCATTAATCTACATTGCCTATCATAACACTGTATGCTATAGGATCAGCTTCTCCCTTGCATCAAGCCATGGACAGAATATTCCACTGGATTCTCTAGAGACATGAGCCTGGCAGAACTACTCATAGACCCCCTTTCCACCCTTCCACCCCACTTTCTCTGGTATGAACCCAGGAGTAAAATGTCTCAGCCAAGGTATTCCTGCATTGTGTAGGTTTCTTGATGCCTTTGTACCTCCTTTTATCTAGCGTATATCAAAGCAAACAAAAGGCATTTGGGGATGGACCACAGCCCTGAGATCCGTAGAATGAGTGCAGCACAATTCCCTTTGTGCCTTTATAATTTTGAGCCAGTTGTGTGTCTGTCATTTGATCTACAGAAAAAAAAAACAGTATGTACATGTGTGCTGTTCTGCTGATGACCACATTGTAATCATTAATGATCCAAGATAACTGCACATATTTATTTCTAAGAAATATAAAGAATTAAAACATTAACAAACTCTAAATCGTTTCTGTTTCAGAGGCTTGGTCCACCAAACACACTGCATTTGCTAGTCAGAGAAGTGAAAAAGGTATGTTGACACTATTCAGAGATGCTGGGGTTTTGTTAAACTGAACGAGCCTATGGGAACAGTTATTATGACATAGGTGAAAAATAATGGCTTACTGTACAGCCCAGCTGGAGCAGGGCTGGAGCAACTGTGGAGCCCCTCACCCCTGGGTCAGCAGGGACAGTGGCAATGGCAGGTATGGGAGGGGATGGAACATGGCATGAAGAGGAAAGGGGGCAGAGAAATTCCTACTTCATTTAGCAACTTAAAACAAATTTCTGACTGCTGCTCCCATGGCATCAACTGAAAGGCAGGTGAGTGCACCACTGCACCCTCTCTGGATCTGCCCCTGATGTCAAAGGAATTTTACATACAACATTATAAGAGGAAAATGTTGCCTGGTAAAACTACAGAATCTGAAAAGTTAGACACAGAAAAGACCTATTAGATTATCCATCTGTCAGTGCAGGATTATTTTCTTCTTTCTTGTTTGTTTGTGTGTTTTTCAAATTCCTTTTACATGTCCCATGCAATGCCACTTTCACTCCTTTCTGCTCTTCAGTTTTCTGTTATCACCCGTTATCACTGTAAGGTTTAATATTAAATTCACTATGTTTGGTGGGGGGCTGCACATATCTTTTTACAGCATAGAATGCCCAGTATTTCTTCTGTAAGGAAATCTTCCATTGACTCCAGTAAGAGTTACCTGTGAAAGTCTTGCTGCTTTGAGTTAATGTATAATTCATATTAAGCCATTTCATAATTTAGTCATAGATCTTATTTTGTGTTGTTTGCATTTTTCAGTGTTGCTAACTCTAACTCTTTTCTTCTCTACCTGTCCACTTTCCTCCTCCTCTTCATTGTATTCCCATGGCTCACCCTCATTCAGCGACAGTCTCGGGGATTCGGTTGGGTTAAGATGGAGGTGATTTGCTCACCTAGAATTTAGCTCCTTCACCATAGTTATAGCTCTGTCATGTTGTAGACTAAATGTTACTGTTGTGTGCAAAAAGAATATTAACACAGTAAAACAGTTTTCAAGTCATAGCTTTGGGAGGTTTAATATAACTGTCCAATCTTTAGCAATATGAAAACACAGGTTACACAACCTACTTGTTTACTAAATGTGGACTGCAGATTAACCTAAATCTTCCTTTAAATAATGGGCTGGGACTTGTAGATAACAATGCTGTGAAAGAATACTTATCTGTACAATGGAAGCTGCAGTAGATACAAACACCTTTCTAAGTAACAAGGTAGTTTTAGTAGCTATATTAGCGGCATGATGTACCCTAGGTAAGTGCCATAATTAAAAAACAAAAATTAGAAAACATCTGACTTGCTTGCATTAGAATTAACTTATAAAAATCCTAATTTAGTGCTAGTGCTGCAGTTTCATTTGTCATCAGAGACTTGATAATAAATCTGTTGAATTCAGTAAGAGTCTTTCCTATAACTTGGGTCATGTCTGCCCTGCCTCCCTGCTGAGCCTGGGGCCAGCAACCAGGAAATAAAGGCACTCCAGTTCTGTATTTGCCCAAGTCTGGCAGTTAAGCAGCATCTACAGCTTCTGTGCCTCTACTATTATTGTCTGCACAGTAATCCCATCCTGTGATCACTGCTGAGAAATGAGCCCTGCCCATCTGCTCCTGCTCCATGCTGCATGTTGAAAAACCGAGTGGCTGCTGTCAGGAGCACTCCTGGGACTGAGCTCCTGAGAGCGTCTCAGTACATGCACCAAAGCGGGACCACACAACCCTTTCAGCACGTAGTATAAGCAGCATGTGAAAGACTGGGTAGGACTTGTTTCTTAGCCATCGCCTCCGGGTGGGGGCATTGTTAAGGGATACAGCCAGTTTTAATCTATCTCAGCCAAAATGAATTCTTAGAATGGATAAAATCTTAAAAACCCCAAAGGTGTTCAGAGTAGCTAGATTATCCAAACTCATAAAACATGGACATATTTGTGCTTTAAACATTCAGGTTTATTAATTCACCAAAAAGAACTTGGGGCCTTTTGTTGCCAGCCTGTACAACCTTTTTCAAATGAGCAATTCTGTTGGCTACAGAAGAACTAATCACGAAAACAAGGATTACTCTCATCACTAATGTTTTGTAGAAGGCAACTTCAAGACTATCATAAAAACTTCATTTTTAATTATAAATGGTGTTAGATTAATTTTCTAACACCACAGACATAAAAGAAGGTTGGTTACTATCTATATACAATGTTCATACTAAACTGAGTAAGCCATCTATAAAATAAAAATCTATTAAATGACAGAATGTTTATTGAACATACAACCTACAGTATGTGCATCAATCTTCAGCTACATTAAGTTAAGCATAGTGCAATACATTCATTTTATCAGAAACATATTAAAACTATAACGTGCTCAACTTCTTCCACGGCCTAAATAATATGCAGTGCATTAAGAAATGTGACTTGGACTGATTCTGACCTATTCAATACCAATAACCACAACTACAATTCTATTTTTATATACCTACATTTCCGTCATAGAGACATTTGTCCCCAAGTGAAAATATTCAATAGTTGGAAATAACAGTATTTAATAAAATCAGAATATTAGGAAGTAAAGGTCACTAGCTATAAAGGCTATTATGTATCAGTATAAACACGTAATAGTGTGTGTAACTAAGGCAACTCTATATATACCTTAGTATTGATATGTATCCTAAAAATTCATTTTTATTCTTTTTTTTTTAGGGAAATCTTCCACCAGATTATCATATCAGTCTGATAGATATCGGTCTTGTACTTGAATACCTCATGGGTGGAGCTTACCGCTGCCACTACACTCGAAAAAGTTTCCGGACCCTTTACAATAATTTATTTGGACCAAAGAGGGTAAGAACAGCTTAATCCTCCGTTTCCCAAAATAACTAATTCTGCACTTCAGCCTTGTGAACTGCTATAAGTCCAATGCAAAACAGATGTTTTAGGATTTAACTTGATCTTCATTTGATAGCTTCTGGGGTTAACATGGGGATACTGCAAAATATCCAAGATGTAAGGTCCGAGGATGTACTAAACATCCTGTACAGGTGGTTCACATTCAACACCTCTTGGTTTCTAACTATTGTGTAATATATGCCATTCTCAGTCCTAAGTGCAAGCATGACCTCCTGGAGTTATTTTGACAGTAATGGATAGCGGCAGAGGCACACCTGGGCACTTCTGTGCCATGGGCTGCAGTGTATGGGGCAGTATCAGTAGCTGGGCTGCCAGCAGGGATGGCTGGGCCAGCAATGCAGCAGCTGCTGTTTTTGCACCCCTCAACTCCATGCCCAGCTGCTTTTTTCATGCTCCCTGATCTCCATCCCAGCAACGCTACTGGAAAGTTGCACTGAAAAAGCAGAAGGAAAAACCTCAAGCTAATGATCAAGTAATTGTAAGAGTGCGTGGGTTCAAGCCAGAAAGACAAAGGAGACACCTTAAGAGAAAAAGAAATATATAAACATTTATCACCAGTCCTGAAAAGAACTTATGTAAGTCCTATCCCAGTAAAACCTCTTTCACCTATGCTAATAAGCATATCATTTATTGATTATGACAGGCTCTGGCCTGCAACTATGATTGACCTTAAGGCTTGCTGCTATAAGTAACAGGATGGATGAATCAACTGGATGATGGATCCACCTGAATTTATTTTAGGGCCTCTAGATTTGAAAGTCAAATATATCTCTTTCATCTAATTACATGAAAGCAATAATTTCAGCCAATGAATCTTTCCCTTGACAGGACATAGCATTGTTCAAGAATTGAATCGAAGAGAAAGAAGAGTCCTTTGTTGAAATATTTGGTTAAAAAAACAAAAACCATTTAGTAGAACAAAATGTAATTTCTTACATTAAAAACTGCAGTAATATATTTGAGATCAGATTTAATCTTCATTATTTTCTGTGGGTAGTTTCACCCTTGATAATGTTGTGAAATCTGAAACTTAATATTTGAAATTATCTTTGTGGTCATATGATAGGTTTATTTCTCATAGGTGCATCAAATTGTTCTTAAACCTTAGAATGGATCTTTTTGTATCTGAGTCAAAGGGGGAGGGTGTTTTAGCTTCATGATGCAAAACAACTATTTTTCTAAATACATAGTTACAATTATTAGCCTATATATGTAAATGAAAAAAAATCATTTTCTTTGATACTTATGTCTCTGCATTCCCTCCCATCTAACTAGATTTTCTTTTCTATTTTTAATATGCAGCCAAAAGCTCTTAAACTTTTAGGAATGGAGGTAAGTTGGATTTAGCATAGAACTAGAAAAACACCTTTCTACCTCATTCTTGGAATTCTCAGTTTTATGCTGGTTCAAAGTATGTCATTTCTTGATGATATCTGTTTTACAAACTTTCTCTAATTATGCACCATCAGTATACTTACATTTAATAACTCAAGGGCTGCTTAGTGCAGCATTATGTAATAATACAGTCCATGCTGATATCTGGGATAGAGTTGATCATTTGGGATGGGAACACAAAAATGACAGAGAAGAGAGAGAGGACTGTAATTTGAGGTTAAATACCTCCTCGTTTCAACAGTAACGACTTATAAATGGAAGATTTGGCTATATCATAAGCCCCTGACAGATGTTACATTGATGTGCATTACATTTATGGCATTTTAATGATGCCATAAATAGCAACATGCCACACATTCAATTTATCATACCATAAAATGGCAAACTAGCCACAAAGATACTCCATATATAATGTAGAATATCTGGTTTTCCTAAATTGAATGTGTGGCATGTCCCACCTGGGTCTGTCCCATCCTGATGCTGACAGTAGTCTTGGACCCAAAGTCAACGGTGGGGTGCTGGGCACATAGGTTGCAAGGGAGCTCCCTGCTAGGAACTTAACTAGCTTTTTGCCTAGCACTTTAAGGAGACCCAGCATGTTTGCTGTTTTGGTTTTGTCCCACAACCCTCATGGGAAGCTACAAGGCATGGCAGTCAATGTGCCAGACTGGTCTGTGCCAGGCTGGGGGTGGGCAGGAGGGTTACAGTGTTAAACTCCCTAGTAAACTCCTTTGGGAACCCTAATGGGAACCTTGCAAATTACATTTGAGTTGCAAGATTCCCATTAAAATAATGGCACAATTGGGATGGATCCCTGTTTGGCATGACAGCAGGCACAATTGTTGGGATTGGAGATACCTTTGCCCCATTTATTTTAATATCTCCCTTCATCCATGAAGGATAATATTTGACTAGAATGAAGAATGTAAAATGTGTGTAGTGTTAACGGTTTAATTATTCCCTTCTATTGTAAAATAAAATTGATTATTTCAAAGCACATCAGCTCTGCAGTTAGTAAATATGAGATGATATGGCCCTGAGCCACAGCTGCAAGTCTGACCCCAGCCCTCATTCCCAAGAACTTTGGGGAAGTTTTAGAGTGGGGAACTCCCTCTCCCAGGTTCCCAAACCAGAACCCTAATGCTGATGCTATCAACCCTTGAGAAAGCTCATTGTCTGATCTGAAAGCAGAGCCAATATTTCTGATGCATACCATAAAACTTTCTAGTTAGATACTGATAAATGAAAAAGATAGAAACTTCTGTATATGTAGTATATAAGTGGCAACTATCTCTTCCAGTATTATTAATAACCTCTGGAATTTCTGTAAAAGGAATAGCTAGCTAATTCTCCTTTCAATTCCAAAACTTACTGGTGAAGAGATAATCCTACTCAGAAAACATGGATTCAAATGCTTAATATAAATATAGCATTGTGTGGCCTCATATCCCCACCAAAACTAATTAAACTGGACATCCCTATGTGCACAAGAACTGATTTTATAAGATGGTTATTGCCTTTGCTCATCATCCTTGAAATGGGACTCAAGCCCTAAAAATGATCAAAAGATCTATCTACATTTCTCTCTATATACTGTATGAAATGTTATTTCCTATGTAGCTTAAACCCTAATTTTCCCAATCATGCCTTTTCTCCCTTTAGGATCCTGCTTCATTGTCAATACCTCCTTTCAATTACTTCCATGTTGGTTCCTGTAGTAATGACCTATCCCCCTTATCCCTTTAAGAAATGGGATAGTTATACCTTCAGTTTGTACTGCATACATAAGAGGACATTGCTTATTCAAAGGTGAACATTCCCTTTAGTATCTTAAATGTTCTTAAGGACTCTGTCTACCTGACTTCTTTTGTTTCTGTTTACCCCTCTCCATCTGCATGTCAGTTTAAAATTTGCTTCGATGCTTGTAAGATTAGGAGCCTTGTTCTTTAGGAATAGATGCAGACACATCAAATCTGAAATTAGAGTGGAACTCATGTTCAGTGAAGCTCCATTGACAATGTAATGGAATAAACATCCTGGTTTCTTTCAACTCCTTGCAAAGCAACCAGGGCTGTAACACACTTTCCACTTTTAATGTAGCTGTTCTATGCAGAGATAACTTCAGTATATGAAGCTTTGTATTGCTCAAACATTGGGGACTTGTAATTAAGCATGTCAGTAATCATTCAGCCTATAACATGTGAACTCAGGCATGCTAGTGCATGACCTGTTAATAAGTTATTTTTATTAGGTTGTTACCAGCATTCCTTGTAGTAAATAACAGGAACAAATCAGAAAACCAATGATGGAATATGATGAAGGTCTGCAGACCTTTTCTGAATGGGATATTCACATTTTTCTCTGGAAAATAAAATGTGGAGAAGATATACTAGTAGTCACTCAACACTTGTTCTGGAGTATATGATAAATGTCACAATAACTTTTAACAAGTCAGTGGCAAATTTTTTTTTTTTTTTTTTGCTTTCCCTTAGGATGATGAACCTCCATCCAAAGGGAAGAAGAAAAAGAAGAAAAAGGAGGAAGAGATAGATATTGATGTGGATGACCCAGAAGTCAGCCGCTTTCAGTACCCTTTCCATGAGCTAATGATATGGGCAGTGCTGATGAAACGGCAAAAGATGGCACTCTTCCTTTGGCAGCGAGGAGAGGAAACCATGGCCAAGGCATTGGTTGCATGCAAACTGTACAAATCCATGGCCCATGAGTCTTCAGAGAGTGAGCTGGTGGATGATATCTCTCAAGATCTGGACAATAACTCCAAGTTAGTAAACTGGAGCATTGTATATGCTTAATTTGTTTGGGGGAATGCTCCAAAGGTATTTCTTTGAGTAATTGCAAATAATATTTTAAATGGTGACCTACAGGTTGATTTCAAGGCTATTTAGTATTTAATAACCTAACAAAAATTTTGATTTTGGGTTCTGAACACTGTTTACAGTTCATACTCCCTCTGCTTCTTTAGAAAATTGACTGAATCTCTCTGTCTCAGTTGCCTTCTTTATAAAACAAAACTAGCTTACCTCACAATGTTATTTTAAGGATGTACCTGAACTGGAGAGGGTTTAAAGATTTTAAAGTATTATTATTGCGTACAGTCTCAAAAGATTCATGGAAGAAGTTGCCATGTTTGAAAAAAATGTCCTAGGGGGATGAAAATTATATTATTCTTCCTTTTTATTAGGTTCTCCCCTTATTGCCTTTTTAATTATGATGATTTTTTTTATTTTAAAAAAAGAAATGTAAAAGGAAATATAGCATTATTATAACTGCCCTTTTGATGTTAGAAGTTGACAAAAACTGACACATCTATAATGCCTTTAATCAAAAGATCAAAAATATTTTACAATTTTATTTCAAAGCAATAGCTATGCACTTATATATCTTATTCTGTATCTGTATAGAGTTTTTAAATATTACCACAAATCAAGACTGAGGCCCAATGCTGGTGTATGTTGCACAAACATGTAGAAAGACATAGTCTTTACCCAAGATTTTACAATTTAAGGCAATACTAAATTTCTAAATTCAAGTTAATCAAATTCTCTTTGCCTATCTTCATTTTTCCAGAGACTTTGGCCAACTGGCAGTTGAGTTGTTAGATCAGTCCTACAAACATGATGAACAAATTGCCATGAAATTACTGACCTATGAACTGAAAAACTGGAGTAACTCCACCTGTCTAAAACTTGCTGTAGCAGCTAAGCACAGGGACTTTATTGCTCATACTTGCAGTCAGATGCTGTTAACAGATATGTGGATGGGGCGGCTACGCATGCGGAAAAACCCAGGCCTTAAGGTATTTTCTCTACACAAATGCTGCTGAAAGTACAAATGAAGCCCATAATAGTGTGTCACTTACAGTGCACTTATACCTAGCAAGTTGAATTGTTATATAAATAAGGTACTTCAATATATGTTTTAAATCTGATGATGTGCCATGTGATAACAACAAAAGCTGTTTAATGCAATTATACACCTCTGCCATGAAGATTAATTTATTGCATAACAGGTTAAAAGAACATTTATCATTCTTAAATTCTCTACTGCTTAGAGACACAATATAATGAAGAGTAAGAGAGAGAATGAGCTGCATGTAACATGTTGTTAACATTGCTTAATGGACTACTGGTGCTCCAAGTACTTTCATGAAGAGGGTGGGAGGAGGATATAGTTTGTATAATATAGAATAATGGAAGAGAGATATGTGTTTTCCTCTCTTTGTGCTTTGGGGGTTTGAATCATTGTACAGTTGACTTCTCTGACACTCCTTGAATGGGGATTAGAAGAATTATTATTTGAGGGTCATTTCAAGAAAGGAATAATTTGCTAGACATTAATAATTTCAAAAGAGACAGCATCTGGAGGGGTTTAGAGGTATTTGTAACCTGGAGGAAGAGCAAGTAGGAAGGAGCAACAGGAGAGGTGCTCTCATACTTCCTGAGAAATCAGGGCAATCAACTAGTTACCACAGGTGCCTGCACACGAATGCACAGAGCCTAGGAAAAAAGCAGAAAGAATTGGAAGTTCTTGCAAAGTCAGTGAATTATGACGTGATTGGATTAACAGAGACTTGGTGGGATAGCTCACGTGACTGGAGCACTGTCATGGATGGGTACAAACTGTTCAGGAAGGAGACACAGGGGAGATGAGGAGGAGTTGCACTTTATGTAAAAGAGCAATATGATTACTCAGAGCTCCAGTATGAAACTGGAAATCGGCCTGTGGAAAGTCTCTGAGTTAAGGCCAGAGGAGAGAGCAGCAAGGGTGATGTCATGGTGGGAGTCTGCTGTAGACCACCAGACCAGGGAAAGTGGTAGATGAGGTTTTCTTCAGAACAGCTAGTGAAAGTTTCCCATTCACAGGTGCTGGTTCTTGTGGCGGACTTGAATCACCCTGACATCTGCTAGGAGGGCAATGCAGCAGTGTGTGGGCTATCCAGGAAGTTTTTGAAGAGTGTTGGGGACAACTTCCTGGTGCAAGTGCCGGAGTGGCCAACTAGGGACCATGCTCTTCTTGACCTACTACTCGCAAATGGGATTGGTGGGGAATGTACTAGTAGATGGCCACCTGGGCAGCAGCAACCACAAGATGATTGAGTTCAGGATCCTGAGGAAAGGAAGGATGGAGAGCAGCAGAGTAAGGACCCTGGACTTCAGAAAGGCAGACTTTGACAATGACTTGCTCAGGGAACTCATGGGCAGGATCCCCTGGGAAACCAGTCTGAGGGGGAGAGGAGTCCAGGAGAGCTGGCTGTGCTGAGAGTGCAGGAACAAACCATCCCAATGTGCAAGAAGAATAGCAAGTATGGCAGAGGACCAGCTTGCCTTAGTGTGCCCCGGCACACTGGTTGGGAAATACTGTTCTAAATTCATGTATTTCTGGGCCCTGAGTTTAGTTCATTGTTTGTCATATAGTGTAATAACTGCCTTCCATACGTAAGCGATAAGCTGGTCACATTTCCAGCCATATCTTTTTCAAAATCCAGCTATTATTTCCTGTTTCTCCCACCACAAACCTTGTTCATCCTCTCTGTCCTTGAGCACTCTTCGTTATCTCTTTTTCACTTTCCTACATTTTTCCCACTGAAATCTGCTCAGTCTTATGGCTGATCCTTCCCACCCTGCCCCTCTCAAAATCCTATTACTGGCTTTCTTCCCTTTTTCTCATAGAGTACAGCCTTCTCCTGACCTTCTAGTTCTCTCCTCTTTACTTGCATGTCCCTCCTTTCTTATTTTCATTACATTCCTTCACTGTTCTTTTTAGCAGCATCTCCACCTCTGGTTTAGGTGCCTCCTACTGGTTTAGGTGCTTTCATACTCTTAGAATGCCTTCCCATTAGCTCTTAGCCAAGCTTCCATACTTTTAAAGCTCTTCTGATAATTCTCCATTTTACATGAGACTGTAATGGCTATACTTTGGAAAGCTTTCCCTCTTACCCTCCCACCACTGAGTTGTTCACAGAATTCAGTTAAATTCCCATTCTTGCAGTATTTTTACCTCTAGATACATCTCACTGCATTGTATCTACAGAGATGGTAAAACTTCCAGAGCAGCATCTATTCAGGCTGCTGTGTATATTGATTCTGCTTTGTGAATCAACTCCTTTTTGTATGGATAAGCATCTTAAATATTCTAAAGAGAGATACTGTTACACAGAAAAATAATCTCATTAAAAATATCTAAAGATCTGTTGTAATTTATGCATGGATTTGACATCTCTCTTCTTGCACAGGTGATAATGGGAATTCTCTTCCCACCCACCATCCTGTTTCTAGAGTTTCGCAGCTATGATGACTTTTCTTATCAGACATCAAGAGAAAATGAAGACAACAAAGAAAAGGAGGAGGAGAATGTGGTGAGTATTGTACCTTATTGGAATTTCGAAATGTTATTAATATTATGCTATTAACCACTCAAATGGAAATCTGCGTATTTTTGTAACACTTGCCAATGTAGGATCCAAATCACTGTGTATCAGTTTTAAGGGTATGTGGGACAAATTATCTGCCTGTGCAAGTCAGTATATCTATACAGAGGTCAGTGGAGCAATACACCAGTTCAGAACTTAGCTTAGTATTTTTTGAAAATGCGGTGGAACTAGATAGAAAATAAAATCATGTTATTCAGAAGGAAGGATCTTGTATCTGCCAATGAATTGGGAATTGTAGCTGTAAGCTACTCCTATAGGTGATGACAAGATGCCAGCTTCTGTTTTCTAGGATGCAAATGCTGACACAGGCTCCCGAAAGGGAGATGAAGAGAATGGAAGCAAAAAGCAAAAAAGCCTTCCAATTGGAAAAAAGATCTATGAATTCTATAATGCACCTATTGTTAAGTTCTGGTTTTACACGGTGAGTATGCATCTTGGCTCTTGTTACATTCAAATATAAAACCAGGAAAAATACTGCTGACTTTCAAGAAATTTCCAACCACAGTTTGTGCATGAGTGATCTAATTAGTAGAGAAATAAGTACATGCAGATATAGAAAGATACAGTGCACACACTACTGCATTGTATGAAAAGTTCCTGAAGAATATCACCTTAAAGAAAGTGCAGCATTAAATAGCAGGTGACACTCCTTATGTGTTTTGTCAGAAGGTGAAACCAATACAAATTCCACAGAACTCCACACACTAGTCTTTCTTGATCCCAGCCCATTGGTAAATGCTTTTGTTCATTTCTCAAGGGCTCTGGGCTCTGTTTCTTCCCTTGCTTTCAGTGATTATATATTGATATACATCCAGCGACTTCAGAAGAACTGCAGTGAGATCCACATTCGAGTCCTGTGCATCTCAAAAGGCAAATCTGGCAAGAATCAGTTTGACCTAAGACAAAGTGGCTTACAATTTGTAGTAGAGTATGTATCCTAATTCTGTTTCATAACATGATTAAAGCTGAGGTCACATTAATATATGTGCTTTCTGTTTCCTTGTATAGTATTTATACTCATGCATACACAAGCCAGACTTATATGCAGATCACCACAAAATTATCTACATATGCTGCTAACTTTTTCTCTGTATTTGCTGTAAACAAAATTGAAATTAACAGCAACAATACTAAAGTCATTTATCATTCTATAGTAGCCACAGAACTGCATATCAAGAAAAGTACGTCTGATGTCAGATTTTCTGTAATGAAACAAAGGAAGTGTGTGTGTTACTGACAAAATTCCCACGTAGCCAGCATAAAGAATGTAAAGTTCTTTTAAAAGTAGGAAATGAAAATTAACAAATATTAGTTCTCATGTTTCAGGTTGTACTGTATTAAAAGCCAAGATAGTTACATTCATGTTGTTATGCTGATTTAAAAACAAAATTCCAATTTAATTTTGAAGAAAAATACTCAATATAGTTTACCTGAGGTTTTTAAAAAATACATTTAATTGAATTAAAAGCCACAAAGCCCATCAGAATGAATAGGAGCTTTTTTAATGACTTCAGCAAGCTTTGGGTGAGGCTCTTATAAGCAGATCTCAAATTCATCACTCCAGCTGCCTGAGCTGAGTAGCCTGAGCCAACGTGCCCTGCAGGTGCACTGCTCTCCCTTTCAGAGAAGAAAAAACTCCATCCCAGCTGAGTCTTGGCCTTCAGGACTTAAACCCAGTCAGGGAAAAGAGGACAATTGAAATGCTGGCATTTCCAGAAGACCATCCAAACTGCAGCTGCCTCAAGCAACCCTGCCAGATCTGTTTCCATAGCCTTTCTTGCAAAGCAGCCACAGCCATACAGCAATGTTTCAAGCTAATGAAGCCCATTGAATATTAATGTTAATTTTTTTTTAATGGAACACAGTTTGAAATATGCCTTAAGGAACCGGTATAAACAATATGCACTTTGGCTTATACATCTGTTTATGAATTCATACTGCTCCAAGCATCATAGTATAAGAGTACATGGGCGCACAGTCTCAGTTCCCCGAAAAACACAAGATATCTCTGTCAGTATAATTATGCTTCCATCTTACTCAATATCTCTGATTTCTTTGATAATATTTTGGTATTTAATAAAGGTAAAGAGGTATTTGAGCCTTCCAATAATTTAAAATAAAAATATAAAAATACATCCTTGACATTTTTTGAAGGGCTGTCTAGCTAGGTACATTTTCAAAAGTACAGGGTAACAGGGCAAGCAGCACTTTTACCCCTGGCCAAACCTCTCAGGTGTGCCTCTATAGTAATAGGCAGAGGGAGCAATCCCCCTGGATTTACAATGCTTAGGCAGAAGCCTAGGATGACAGCCCCCTTTTGCCCAATGGAAGTAGACACTTGTAAGAAACGTGCATCTGGGAGGCTGAGGGGTTGATTAAAGTGATTCCAAAAGAGCTTCAAATGTTTTGTTAATTTACACAAGGTACACAGATAAGCCAGGAAGGCCTGCTGGGATTAAAACAGCATCTAAATGAGTGTGGCCTTACCTAAGCTTCATTTTTTCCTGGGAAGTTTTAGGAAACTTGACTTAGCATCCATAGACTCCTTGCCCATGTCCAGACAAGCGTGGTGGTATGTGGTGTTGCACGTCTGCAGTGCCACATACTGCACATTCAGCTGTTTTCTGTGTTGCAAGGAAGCAACATGAGGGGGCTTTTTGACCCCTGGATATCCAGGGGTTAAAAAAACCTGTGCAAAAAAAAAAGAAAAAGTGGAGCAGCACATGCAGGGGCAGCATACACCACTCAAAACCGGAGCCTGGCCATCCAGAACCACACTCTGGCTGCAGGCCAGGCTTCAAGTGACAGGTTCACCACTGCTGCAGCCCCAGGAGGCCCCCAGGACCCCAGGTAAGGCTGCTTGACCCAGACCAGTGCTGGCCCCAGCCTCCCCTACCCCACCTGGGGTAACTTGCTGCGTGCCAGAGGGCATGTGACACGGGCGTTCCCTGGGGACAAGTAGCAATGGCACAAGGTGTCCCACTACTAGTTGTCTCCGGGGAACCAAACATCCATGCTCACAGATGCGGCCACTATATTTCCTGTTAGCGTGCCCTTTCCCCAAACTGTTACTTCCTCCATATATCCCTGCCCCTCATCCTCGAAACAAGAGTTTTAAAAATTTAGTGTTTGTTTGATCTTATGATTTGGCTTTAAAAGAATAACTTTTTCAGCAGGCTAAGGCAAGCTGGTAGGCCAGCTGTTTTAGTCCATACCTTGCTGACTGTTCTTCAAGGACTCTTGTTATCTTCCCTGGTGATACCTTACTTCTATCATCATTTCATTTCCTGTTTGCTTCCGCCAGTAGCCTCTTTTGATTTACTTCAGGCATTCAGGAAGAGGAATATCAGGAAGGTAAACAGAGGTATATACAAAAATAAAATTGATATCTCCCCTTGGTCTTCTCAGCAACATAGCTTGCAAATGCCAGGTGGTTCCTTTCCAACGGGGGTCCGTAATGAAGGTCAAAATGTTCAGAAGATTCCATTCATTTTGAATACTAAACTTGAGGCAGTCTAATTTCTCAGAGATGCTGAGCATCCACAGCCCCTGTTAACTTCTGTCAGGAGTGTGGGCACTCAGCAACTTAGGAAACTCAGGTCCCACGCATTGCAAGTTGGACACCCCAAATTAGCAGACACCCATATAAATTCAATTCAATTCAAAATATTTAGTTAGAAGCCTGCCAACTTAAACTTCTACATTTGCTGTATTATGTGGGAAACTAGTTGGAAATGACTTTGTATACAAAACTTGTGAGGGTCTCATGCAGTTGAATGCCTAAGCAGGCATCAGTGGTGCAGATACTCTGTGTATAGGTGCCCACACATTAACATCTAGTGTCTTGAAGGATTTCTTTTTTGCAGATCTCATACCTGGGTTACTTAATGCTTTTCAATTATATAATCTTGGTTCGGATGGAGCGCTGGCCTTCACTCCAGGAATGGATTGTCATCTCCTATATTGTCACTTTGGCTTTGGAGAAGATAAGAGAGGTAATTCGAAAGAACTGTTTTAGGTCATTCTGGGAAGAAGCTATAAAAATTGGAGAAGGAGACTCAAAAAGATGTTCAAAGAGAGGAGCCTTGCATGAGACAGAAGCTCGGGGGTCAGATTAAATGGCCTCTTGAGGTCCCTTCTAGTCCTACTTTTTTATGATTTTTTTTTTATGATTCCTATCCTGCAGATCCCCTAATCCACATGGGGGCAGGGAGGAGGAGGACTCATATATTTTCCACTCTCCAGCTCTTAAAACTGTCTTTTGCCAAGGCAAAAAAATCAATCAAAAACTCCAAGAGGTCAGTTTTGCAGTTTTATGGCTCCACTGCCTCTCCATTGCATCAATTTCAAGAGTGGGGAAGGAAGGGGGTGGGGAGAATCCTAGGATCCATACATATAAAGTCTCTGTATGATTCATTGTTCTGTTATGTCAGGGCAGGCAATTATTTCAGGCAGAGGGCTGCTTACTGAGTTTTGGCAAGCTGTCAAGGGCCACAAGGGTAGCCCTGCCCCTTGACAGGTGCCCTGCCCCCTGGTCACCATCTTGTGACTGGAAGTCCCGCCTCCTAACCCCTGACCTTTACCACTTGAAGTCACTCCACTTGGCCCCGGAAGTACTCCTGTCAGCAAGGGGTTTTGCCATCCTGTAACCAGCAAAATACCAAATTATATTCTAAAAGGCAAACATCTACTGCATTCATTAATTTGATTTCAAAAAATATTTTTCTTCTGATTTACATGTGTTTGTATAGTGTTCACAGAGGTGATTGCACAATAGCTTAAATGAAGTCTTATTCTTGTATATCGTGGGAGGCGCATATAGGTGTGTGTGGGTGGGTATGAGGTTTGTGGGGGGATGGGTGTTGGGAGAGGGTGGCTGGGATGTATGAAGGGATGTGGGTGTGGAAGCCTGCATGTATGGCAGTGCAAGGTGGGGTGCATGTGTATGGTGGGGTGTGCATGTCGGACTCACCCTATAAACACACACACACACACACACACACACACACACACACACACACACGCATACTGCCCCTGCCTGCACACACATACACTTCCCCTGCCTGCACACACACACGTACCAGCGTGGCCCTGTACTCCTCGGTCCGGCAATACAGCCATGTGGTGCTGGAGCAGGGCGGGGGCGGGAAGAGAGTGAAATGGCTGGAGGTGGGTGGGACTGGGCTGCTCAGTTCTACTGAGGGCTCCCCCTAGGTCCTACTGCCCCTGGCTCCTGTCAGCTTGGACAGGCAGCCAGGAGCAAATAAATATTAATTTACTAATTTTTTTAAGGGTCCCAATGGGTCAGATAGAGTGGCCTGGTGGGCCATATTTTGCCCTCCCCTGTGTTATGTTATAATCAGTGCAGTTCTTGCTTGGAGACATTGGTGGCAAAGAGTTGTTACAGATGAAAAACAGTAGTAGTATTTAATTATTTATTAATTCTTTATGCCCTTCTAGATATAGAGCCCAGCACCAGAAGTCCATCACAGTATCCACTTATTACACTGTCATTTATACCAACCTATTTTCTCTCCAATCTACCATCTTCCTTCCTCCTCCTTCCCACTCTAAACTTCCTGTGTAATTCTGATTTGGTTGTAAACAAAGTTAATAAGGTGAATTAATTGTGTGTTTTATTTCTACTTAAATTGGGCCAAAATAATAATAAAAATGAAATGGAATTTGCAAAAAAGCAGAGTCTGCCAGTGAGGCAAATCTCACCCACAATGTGACTGGCCTCATTGAAACTGGTTAAAACCAATGAGAGTTCATTGTTTTAAAAATGTACCTCACAGATTTTCCTTTTTCTTGCTTTGTTTTCAGATTCTGATGTCAGAGCCAGGCAAGCTGAGCCAGAAAGTGAAAGTCTGGCTTCAGGAATACTGGAATATCACTGATCTGGTGGCTATTTTAGTATTTATAATTGGAGCAATTCTTCGCCTACAGAATCAGCCTTACATGGGTTATGGACGAGTGATTTACTGCGTGGATATCATTTTTTGGTACATTAGAGTACTGGATATCTTTGGTGTGAACAAGTATCTGGGACCCTATGTCATGATGATTGGAAAGATGGTTAGTAGCTATGGTGCAAGAGGCTGCTTTAAATACTGCATTTTAAAGCTACCTAAGAAACAGATTTGTGAAAGTTTAAGTCAGTTCCCGGTTTTAGAAGCCAATTCTGCAGCTCTTGCTCACCTGAGTGGGTCTGAGATTAAAGCACATAGAATTGGGCTTTTAATTTTGATTCAGGATTTCTGTAAACATGCACGTACACACACACACACACACACACATGATATATGATACACGTACTTTGGAACAGAACTCTCAGTAAGTATCAGCTCAATTCAAGAGGATGTTTATCTTAAATTATTTTAATATTCAGCATATTCAGCATTTCTGAGCTCTCCAGGAGCTTCATTAATCTCAGCATGGGTGAAACATTTGACCTACTCAGAATTCTTTAGGGTCTTCCCCTTCAGAAAAGTGGGCTTCCAGATTTTTGGCCCCCTCTACACACTAGAGGTATCACATAATTAACAAACTATCTGCACAATTATCTTGAGACCAGCTACATGAGCAAATTACCAATCAGGCCATAAGAAACTACAACCAGCTTCAAAATTAGACCTCAGAAATGTGTACTAATGTTATAGCTGGTTGCTACTGAGCTTCAATTTGCACATGTAGCAGGGTCTCTCCTGGGAGTGCTGCAACTGAGGAGACCCTCAGTCCCAGCAGCTGTCATCTCTGGGTTCTGGCAACTCAGGGACCCAAAGTTCCCCAGCTGTGGTGGTGCCCCCTGGTGCCACCTGGGTGGCAGCAAGCAGGCAGATACTACCCAGGGGGGCGCCACCACTGTAGAGGGAAGGTCTGGGGCCCCCTGAAGCTCAGGGCCCACCAGCAGCTCACCCCTGGCCACAGGGTAGGCGGGCAGTCTCCATGGGAAAAAAAATAGGATCAGGCCCCTCAATGCTTTTTTTTTTCTTCTCAGTGGAGCCTAGCTGTGTGAGCTGCCACCAGGCCATGAAGTCCCTGAGCTGTGGGGGGGCCCGGTCCTTCCCTCCACGGTGCCAGCACCCCCTGGGGCTGTCCAGACAGGGTGCTAGCTGCGCGGGTGCTGCCGCAGTTCTCAGGCAGCACCCACCGGATCCAAATCTTTCCTGAGCCTGCGAGCTGGGGCAGCACCAGCGCAGCTAGCACCCTGCCTGGGTGGCCCCAGGGGGTGCTGCCAGTGCAGAGGGAAGGTTTGGGCCCCCCCAAAGCTCAGGGGCTGCAAGGCCTGGCAGTAGCTTGTGTGCGCAGACTCCACTGAGGAAAAAAAAGAAAAAAAGCATCAAGGAGCCTGATCCTGTCAAAGTTTGCAATGTTACGAATAGCTATGTTGCAAACTAAACTACATGCAGATGTAGTTTAGTTTTCAACATAGCAAACTCATTTAAATAATAAAAAACCCTCATATGTACAGTGTGATGCAATTAAACCGCAAAAACAGCCAATTTTCATCACATGTACAAGTGTCCAATAACTCTTCTCTAGCAAGAGAGCCCCTTACACTAGTGATTTTCTGTGACTGCCCCTTCTAGCTTTAAAATGTGTTGGCAAAACAGCACAGTGTTACTGATGTATAAGAGCATTCACACAGAAGCACATTTTGTACCACCGGCAGTTCTTTAAATCATAGAACATACCTGTCTAAATGGGACCTGCAGGACCACCTTTTCTGCATAGTATATTTTTTCAATTCATGAGCAATACTTACAATGGTATAATAGTATCTGGGAACTGATTATTTTGGGGGGATTTTTATCCTCATGATTCTTTCGTGGTCACACATGTCTTTTCATGGAACTGTTGATTTTGACAAGAACCTCTGTCTGGCTCCCCTGTCCAGATGATTGACATGCTCTATTTTGTGGTCATCATGCTTGTGGTTCTCATGAGCTTTGGAGTCGCCCGCCAAGCTATCTTGCACCCAGATGAAGAGCCCTCTTGGAGACTAGCCCGCAATATCTTCTATATGCCCTACTGGATGATCTATGGAGAGGTGTTTGCAGACCAGATAGACCGTAAGAGTAGAATTCATAGTAAGATTCTGTTTCCTGTTTCTGAGGCAGATGATCAGATCCAAATTAACAAGGATGTCCATTTTAATTTGGAATTAGTGTGTTTTGTCTTTGTGTTGGTGTGGATTTTTTGTTTCTTTGTTTCTTTTGCTCTTTTTTTAGCAGCAGACCCCAGAGGTATGAATATAATTTTCTCTTTCCCACCCAAGCACTAGTAGAAACCTTCTGTCTGTCAGCCTGTATTTAGGCCCAGATTGTATTGTGAGTGCTGCAGTCTGAAATGTTCTCCTTTCATTTGAGGGTAGGATTATGACCTTTGAGACATTTTGCTTCCTCATTTGGACTGTTTTGGTGGACTTGGTACATCAACAGCAGTTCAGGCTGTGATTCATAAAAGTTCATAAGCACATGCTTAAACCCCATTGACTTCAATGGGAGTTATGCATGTTTTCCTGAAATGGATTCTGGAAGCATTCATTACTGAAACACAGACCTTGTGCATATAGTTTCATAGTTTCATAGTTTTAGGGTCGGAAGGGACCTAATAGATCTTCTAGCCTGACCCCCCGCCAGGGCGGGAGAACAACAAAAGAACCCTAAACAAAAAACGGGACTCAAATGAGTCCAGTCAGGTAGGTATCCAGCCTCTTCTTAAAGATCCCCAGGGTAGGGGCCAGCACCACCTCCCTTGGAAGTTGGTTCCAGCTCCTAGCCGCCCTAACTGTGAAGTAGTTTTTTCGGATGTCCAATCTGTACCTCCTCTCCATCAACTTGTGCCCATTACTCCTTGTTATGCCAGTGGGGGCTAGGGGACACAGCGTCTCCCCCAAACCCTTCTGGTTCCCCCTAGTGAGTTTATAGACGGTCACCAGGTCCCCCCTCAGCCTTCTCTTGTGGAGGCTGAATAGGTTCAGGTCCCGCAGTCTCTCACTGTAGGGTCTGCCCTGTTGTCCCCGGATCATGCGGGTGGCCCTCCTCTGGACCCTCTCCATGTTGTCCACATCCCTCCTGAAATGGGGCGCACAGAACTGGACACAATACTCCAGCTGCGGCCTGACCAGCGTTGCATAGAGGGGGAGGATCACCTCCCTGGCTCTACTCGAGATGCACCTGTGGATGCACGACAAGGTCCGGTTAGCCCTGCCAACCATGACCTCGCATTGTCGGCCCATGTTCATCTTGGAGTCAATAATGACACCAAGATCCCTTTCCGCCTCCGTGCTCTCAAGTAGGGAGTTCCCCATCGTATAAGTGTGCTGCTGGTTCCTACTACCCAAGTGCAGCACCCTGCACTTGTCCGTATTGAAACACATCCTGTTCCTGTTTGCCCACCCCTGTAACCTATCCAGATCCTTCTGCAATCTCTCTCTCCCTGCTAGCGTGCTCACCTCCCCCCAAATTTTGGTGTCATCAGCGAATTTAAACAGGTTGCTTTCCACCCCAACATCAAGATCGCTGATGAAGAAATTGAACAGCGCAGGCCCCAGGACCGAGCCCTGGGGGACTCCACTACCCACCTCCCCCCAAGTCGAGTATGATCCATCCACCACCACCCTCTGAGTGCGACCCTTCAGCCAATCTGCAATCCATCTGACCGTGTAGGCATCTATGCCACAGTCGCCTAGTTTATTAATTAGGATGGGGTGAGAGACGGTGTCAAAGGCCTTGCTGAAGTCCAGAAAGACTACATCCACCGCGACACCTGCGTCCATGGCCTTTGTGACCTGATCATAAAAGGCAATCAGGTTGGTCTGACATGATCTCCCCCTAATAAATCCATGCTGATTGCCCCTGAGCATCATTTCTGATGCCGGCCCATCACAAATGTGCTCCTTGATGATCTTCTCAAAGAGTTTCCCCAGGATTGAGGTAAGACTGACGGGCCTATAATTGCCCGGGTCCTCCCTTTTCCCTTTTTTGAAGATGGGGACCACATTAGCTACCTTCCAATCGTCTGGCACCTGGCCCAAGCACCACGATCGCTCGTAGAGCCGTGCCAGGGGCCCTGCAATAACCCCAGCCAGCTCCCTCAGCACCCTGGGGTGGAGAGCATCCGGACCCGCTGACTTGAACGCGTCCAGCCCCTCCAGAAGCTCTCTAACCCGGTCCTCCCCAACCTGAGGTCTGAAGGCGATCCCCTCGCGTCCGGCTTCTATCACAGCAGGGAAGTCCCGGTCCCTGCACAAGAAAACGGAGGTGAAGAATTGGTTAAAGAGGTCCGCTTTATCCTCTGACGCAACCACCAGATTGCCCCGCATATCCTGCAGGGGCCCCACATTACCCGGCGCCTTCTTCATCCTCCCAATATATTTGAAAAAGGACTTTTTGTTATCCTTAATCCTGGACGCTAATCCGAGCTCTATCTCCGCCTTGGCCTTCCTAACAGCCCGCCTGCAGGCCCGAGCAGAGGAGGTATACTCCTCTTTGGAGATTACACCCCCCTTCCACCGGGCGTACGCCACCCTTTTGGCAAGCAGGCATTCCCGGACACCCTTGGTGAGCCAGGGGGGCTTTTGGACACTCCTGCCCGCCTTGCTTCTTGTCGGGATGGACACCCCTTGGGCCCCGAGTATCGTTTCCTTAAGGAACGACCACTCCTCTTGGACGCTGAGTTCCTCTGCCCTCAAGGACCCCAGTTCCTCTCCCACTAATCTCCTCATCTCACTGAAGTTGGCCCTCCTGAAGTCTAGGGCCACCACCTTGCTGCGGGCCCTTGACACTCTACGCTGGATGGTGAATTCCAGCACGCGATGATCACTATTGCCCAGGTGGTCAAGAACCTGGAGGCCTCTTACCAGGTCGTCGCCTGCGGCCAGGACCAGGTCCAGCAGAGCATCTCCTCTGGTGGGACTGTGCACCTCCTGAATCAAGTGGAGGTCCTGCAACTCGGCCAAGAACCTCCTGGAGCGGTCCGTCCCGGCTGACTGCTCCTCCCAGCAGATGTCCGGGTAATTAAAATCGCCCATGACAACTACATCCCTTGCTTTTAGTGTCTCCGCAAGCTGGCCTGAAAATTCCCTGTCCAGCTCCTCCTCCTGATTGGGGGGTCTGTAATAGACCCCCACCGTCAAATCCCTCTCGCCTTGCCCCCCCTGGATCTTGACCCAGAGCACTTCAGCTCGCCCTTCCCCTGACCCCATACTGCTGGCAGAGGATGTGTAGTGCTCCTTGACATAAAGTCCCACCCCCCCCCCTGATACCCACAGGCATGCCAGAATAAGGAACATGGCTTTGTGTGCCCCCCCCCCCCCCGATTAGGCAGACCATCAGGACCCCCATTACTTACCTTTGCACCCCTTGCCCTGAGTCATATCCTAGAGTTAATGTGTCTTAGGAGCTTTTGAACCAAATCTCCATTAACATTTGAAAGCATGGACGTTATTCTTCTGATCCATTGGCAGTACACAACCTCATATGCAGTAAATAGTGTTAGAAAATAGGGCTGGCCAAGATCTCTGTTCCCCTTTCCCAAGGCAGAATCAACTATGAAAAGTAGTTACTCTGTCCATACAGAGGAACCCTCTTACCCTTTTTATTTTTGCATTCATTTCAGAGAGCATTTGAGGGTGAAAAAACATTTGACTTACAAAATGAACTTTGTTTTGACTGTACTGTAAAGCCTGAAGGGCAAAGAGGGCTATAACTAAAATGCTGGCAGGCAGACATTTTACTACTGGGTGTCCCAATAGGGATAAAATAAGCATCTTGTATGAGAGATGAAACTATACATGTTTCTTCTCCCAACACCTAGCAGATGCAGTAAATTAATTCATATTCCTTCCAGGTGATAAATATATGCTCCAGAAATGTTTCGGGTCTATAAGTCCCTACAAGTTTGATCCTGTACATCTTATAAATCCAATAACAAAGTTGTTTTTGATTAGCTTCAGGCCATAAGTAGTCTTTCATATCTGGGAAATATTTAGTAATTTATTTTGAAAATATGTATTAAAAATACTGGATGTGGATGCAGTAATGTTTGTAGGTTCATGTTAATATTTGAAATATATTTATAAAATGTATCTACATGAATATGAAATCAGGTTCATTAGATGGGTTTGGCTTTACTATATATTGTGCACCATATATGGAAAAATAGGCTGAATGTAATTTCAACACAGTTTGTGTACATATTGATAATGCAGTAAATGGAAAACTCAAGATGGGTGGATCGAAGGGACTGTGGACCCCTAGCAGACTTCAGGACCATTAAATGTTACATCTGTGAGAATATCTGATATTTAGGACAGTTTTCACTAAATATCATTAGATGTTAGATTTCTCTGCTGCTTGTGAGCAAGGCTATTAAAAGTATAATCTGGTCGTGATGCTACATTGTTATTTAGGAAGACTATAACATTGTCTCAACATCTTCCTTTGCCCCATAAATGGTCATTTCATTGCTGCAATTTACAGTACATTAAGTCAATCTTAAAAAATAATTGGGTCAACCACATCCCATCTTATATGGCATCAAAGCTCCCAAGTGGTCTGACAAAGTTTGGGACTACTCATATGGGTACATGTTGGAAGAAAATAAGCAAGGCAGAGGCTGAAGATATTCTCCTGTTCCATTTGGTTCATAGTCTATGTACAAATTTTTGTTTGCCTTGAATAAAGATGGTAGGCCCAATTGTAGTGTTCATGTACATGTCTGTTTTCTCACATATCAGTGAAAATAAGCAATTCTGAGCTCAGGTAGCCAGCAGCAGCTCTGTTCCATGATACAGCAGCTCCGACCTCAGCACTCTGGGAATCCATTTGCCTAACAAATGGGAGTTCATGGAGGGTTTATTTATATTGAGGTTTTTCCAGTCAGACCAGAATACTTAATTGTTTGCCACACGGATGGCTTATATTTCAGAAGAGTGGTGGTTTTAAGCTTTCCTAAAGTGCTTTGAAAGTGACATAAGCTAAACTGGAAAAGGACATTTTATACTAAAAGAAGAATGTCTATAAAGAGTTGTACCTGCACAACTATGTGTTTAAACTTCCTGGTCTGATTTTCTCATATAGAAAAGCTAATAGGCTCCTACTTTCTAAAAATCCTTCTGTTCTCATCATCTATACATGATGCTACGTACTGTACCAATGCACTATGGTGACATAGCACCAGCAGGCAAAAACCAGGATGCCACAGCTACGTTGCTGTAGTGATGCACTCCCTCAGTATAGCGCATTGCTATACTGCTATACTGTTGCTATGGCAACATAGGGGCTAAAAATAACCATGCGCTGCCAGCATGGCACAGTACAGGCTGTTACTGTTACTGTTACTTCCAAAAGGAAGTACTAAATGATGGTGCAGTAACAACGGCACCATACGGGCACATGTAGATCCACCTAGTAAGTATCAGTGTAATCTTCCCATGTCTGTAAGTGTACCACACAACTATCCTTAACAGTTCACCTGGCTGTGATCCTAGTAGATAGTTCAAGTTGGGTCTACGCTATTTTGTCAAGTTCCTTATGTGTAAATGATTTATGGAAAATTATTGTATTGAGTTCCCACCTCAATCATTCAGAAAAATGCATTTCTTTACCTACTTCTGTCATAACCAAACAAAATTGAGCCAAATTAATTCAGTTAGACTTCTGCCATTGACTTTACTGGGGACAAGATTTCACCTGAAGTATGAAGGATTTCACCCTAAAGATGAAATTCACTCTAAGATAGAGGATCCCCTTGACCATAAAATTAGGATCACTTAGCACCTAGCAGAACAAGGGTCATCTGTGTTCCTGTTCCACTAATCAGTATGATTTTGCTTTTAGTCACTAGTTGAGTGGCAACCACAGATCCATAGTGATCATCCAATTAGACTTTAATTCCATTAGAAGCTGTAATAACACATCTGTAGCATAGCTACTGATTGTCTCAAACATAGAATGATAATAAGGAAAGAAATAGCCAGAAAAGTCAATGCCTGGATTCTGCTTCATGAAAAAGGGGAAGTTTGTTTCCCCTAATTCCATAATTGCTATGAGATTCATTTCTTTGCCATAACTTTGTGTGTTTGTGGGTGACCATTAGTTGAGTTTATTTGACTAAAATATATTGTGTATTTAAATGATCATCTGCCAGCAGCATTCTGTGATTTATTTTTACTGACAAGAATTTGCTTCCGTATGTCATATTTGAGGAAGACAAAGTGAAGAGGAAATTGCAGTACATACTGCAGCTCTAATAAAGCCATTGTTTCTAAGCACATGTCTCCATGGTTCTGATATCTGAGTTGCTTATCTTTTCCTGGCAGCAGAACAGCCACTATATTGTCAATCTTCTGTCTTCTTTCTTTCTATTATTCTGTTGTTTTCTTTTTCTCCTTTCTCCTCCCCTTTCCTTTTGGATTGCTGTGAAGTCTATGCCATGGAAATTAATCGTAAGTCTCTATGGGGAGAACTGATTATCTTCTTTAATTAAATATATTAATTATTTTCTTCAGTGAATATTGGCATTTTAGTCACAGACCCAATCCAGTATTCGGATATCAGTCTTTTTTTTTGTACTGAACCCATTTCAAGCATCAAGAAAAAAGAGCAATGTATTCAAAAACAGATGCAAATATATAAAACACCACCTAATCCAGTATTGTTGCTCTTGTTCATGTATTAGTTTGCCACTATAGCATGCAATCTGTGTGTTGCTGAGATGCATTTGATTTTCTGTGTCCAGATAAATACAAGCCTGAGATATAAGTCTGCTTGAAAATTTTTCAAGCCCATATCTGAGAATTAGGTTTCAATTCAGCCTACATAAAGCCTTGCCAAAACCAGGTTTAAGTAAGTGTTTCAGGCCAGTCAGATCACATTCAAACATTATCTTCAAGTAAGATTGAACATAGTTTTGGAAACACTTTTAAAATAAATTGTTTTTGCCTGTGTCAGCAAACTAAATCTTGTAAAAATGTGTTGCTAGATCTGGTATCTACCAAAGGATTTTAGTGCCTTTTAGTTAAATGTTTTAACAGGTAGTAAGTGACTGAAGGATCAAGTCATGGGCTCCTGTTAGACATATTTAGTTGAGCAACCAGAAAGCTGCAGCATCCTAAATTAGTAGTCACTTCTGAAAATCCTGCTCAGGACCTTTTTCATAGTAGAATTCAGAGACGGAGAATTTCCCAAGGGGGAAAAGATTTATTCAATGTAGTGAGAATTTCAGCCAGCCCCATAGTTGAGGAGGGTCTGCAGTGTCTGAGAACTGATTTTCCGTTCAGTGCGCTCTACACTTGCTTGCCTCTCTCAGATACATTTTAAGTCCTTACTGTTCTCTCTTTAGCTCCTTGTGGAGATAATCTTTATGACGAGGATGGTAAACGCCTCCCTCCCTGCATACCTGGGGCCTGGCTCACTCCTGCTATCATGGCTTGTTACCTCTTGGTAGCAAACATTCTGCTGGTAAATCTACTGATCGCTGTCTTCAAGTAAGTATATTATATGACCATATGATCATGTACTTACCTCTTTGTTTTCCTGTTACTGAAGATTATTTTGACTATGAAAGCCTTGCAGCAGGGCCCAATTATACTAGTTTTGCAAAAAGATAGAAGTTGATGAATCCTCTTAGTATAATTGCTCATGTACCCTAAAGTCTAATGTTCTGGGAATATGATTGACTAATACCTTTGGTAGAAGGGCAGTCTGCAAGGTGAGACATGATAAGAGAGACCTTATTGCAGATTCACCAGTACTAGCAATGCTGTGTGTTAAAGAGTTTGGCTAGCTCAGGTTGGCTTTCTTTGGTAGTGTCATATACGCATCAGGGCTTCTTCTGAAGAAAACAGTTTTGTGTACTTATGTTCTCTTGGTAGCCCAGGGGCAGGCAATTATTTTGGGCAGAGGGCTGTTTACTGAGTTTTGGCAAGCCATTGAGGGCTGCATGACAGGCAGCCCAGGGCAGATTAATATTAATTTTCTAAATTTTTTAGGGGCCTCATGGGCCGGATACAATGGCCTGGCGGGCCGCATCCGGCCCCCGGACTGCATTTTGCCCACCCCTGCATTAGCCCATGTAACAGCAGGGTTATTCCTGCATGTTCCAAGTACAAAATAACTGGTGAAGTTCTACTTTGTGGGGAGCTTCTGAGCACAGAGGTCACAGAGGAAGCCATCTGCACTCTTTGTACACTAACAAATATTTCAGTGGACTTGCAGAGGAAGATGTTGGGAAGTTGGGAGTATGGTGTCCACTCACTGTTCCCAGATCCACTGGCCTGCTTTGGGACTCTGTAGTTCTATGCTTTGTTTTTTAGATAGAAAGGTGCTGAGACTAACTTCAGATCCTTACATAATGTTCTTTGCACCACCTCTTCGATTGAGCGATGCAGGAATCAGACTTTGACTATTTACGATACATCATGTTGACAACCCAGTGAATACAGCTTAACAGAAAACAAATTATGGCATTTGCTTCAAAAAATAGAAACCTCCAAATATTGAAATATATTTCGTTACTTGCTGCCCTGCTAAATGTTAGGCTGTTTGGAGCCCATCTTCTGCCAACCTAGGACATTGGGATTGACTTTCCCCTGCCTTGAAGCAACATTTGGGCCACTCTTCATTGCAGCTGCAGCAATATATGGATTTATAGGACAGTTGCATCCCAGGCACATCACTTGCTATGAGGACATGGCAAAATACGCAAGGGGCCCACTGTGAATTCATGATGCCTCAGAAAAAAAAGGTGGTGCCTGGCACAGGCAGAGCCAGGATTGCAGCAAAGGAGTTTTGCTGCCTCCCGTTTGACTGTGGCATATGCACAACAGCTCTCTGAGTTCACCACCTGTTCAGCCCAAACTTTAATGGAGCCACTCTTTTTGCACAGTGCCAAAGCCCAGGGGGGTGAGCAAAGAGCAGTTGATGGTGCTTACCCTCTGGGTTCTGGAGCTGCATGCAAACAGGGGTTCCAGCCATAGCCCACACCAAGCAGCTAATGAACTCAGAACCCATAGCACGTGCAAAGCTCTGGCATTAGATGTGCTGACACATCAGTGAGCTCAGAGAGCAAACTGCATGCACCACACAGTCAGAGCAGGTGTGACCACACTGCTGCACGCTCAGGGCAGCCGGCAGGTATTTCCCCCATCCGAACTTAGAAATAAAACATTAGAAATGATGGCTTGTTAGACAGGCACACCCAAAGCACCAATCCTAACAGAGGTACAAATGCATTAGTCACTACATGTTGATGCGCCATAGCTCTACAGCATTGAAGTGCTGGCTGGTTTAGATAGGTGGTGTCATGCCCAGAACTGTGCTTCTTACAAACCCTGTCTTTTATTTGCTATATGTAGTTAGACTGCTTAGTGGCTTAAAAGGTCATGAATTTTAAAGTACTCAAATGCCAATCACATAGCTGGGGCGGGGGAATGTTACATACAATGCTAGCTATTATTGGTGGAAGAGACCAAACAATCATCAGTTTAGGAAGTAGGTCATTTTGTTAACTCCTATCCTCCCAGCATGGTAGATAGAAGGGTATGCAATTGGAAAACTCTTGCTGTGGAGACAACAGAATTCAGTCAAACCAGTTTCAGTGGTAATATAACCACCCTTCTTCCCTGCCAGACAAATCTAAAACTTCATGGACTCTACATTCTGCTTTTTTGCAGTCATGTTTTAAGTGATTTCATTAAAGCACATGTAAATATTTTAAAGCACAGAAAATGAGAAAAGAAAAAGTGGGTAGAATGTGGAAAAGGAAGTGTTTATATAATCAGAAGTGGTGCTATTTGAGGACACTCCAAAATAGCTTGAAAAGTTAATCCAACACTAAGAGAAGCATGATTGCTCTCATTTAATTGGTATAATATAGGGGAGGCTATTATTAGTCTCTGTATCTAACACAGTCCCCATTCTACACCTCTAAATCTACTGACCTCCAAGTTAAATTCTTATAATACATGCCTTGCTTTGGTGATGAAAATGAAAAACCTTCATTTTTAAGAGCAGCTTTCTTTAAAAGGCTATGCACTGAGTTCTGAAGCCAGAAGTTTGTATGAATGAAGTTTGAATTTAGGGCATCTTGTGAGAGCTTTGAAAAGTCTTCTATTTAGGTCAAGCTGATCAGCATATTAAAAAAAAAACCTATGTGTAGCTTCTGGGTTTTATACAGAATACCTTTCATGGGTTTCATATTTTCAAACACTGAGGCGTGTTATGAGAGATACTTTATTTATAAGCATGCTTCAGAATAGCAGTTATGTACTGCATATGTTTTGCAGAGTTCATTTCTTTTCAGTGACTGCTAAATAGCTTTAATACACTAGGAAAACTATTCTAAATTAAGATTTTTTTCTTTTTGTATCTTTAAAAATATTCTGAGTTATGGCAAAGGATCTGAAGGACCTAATGGAAATAAAGACAGCTAACAATAACCCTTTTTTCAGCAATACCTTTTTTGAAGTGAAATCCATATCCAACCAAGTTTGGAAGTTCCAGCGATATCAGCTGATCATGACGTTCCATGACAGGCCTGTCCTCCCTCCACCAATGATCATCCTCAGCCATCTCTACATAATCCTCAAGCGCATCTGCTGTCGCTGTAAGAAGAAAAGGGAAGGGGATCAGGATGAGCGCGACCGGGGATTGAGTATGGAAAAAACTGTCTGTTCTACATAACATTCTTGTTTTCATTTCAACACCAGGCAGACACTTTTCCAGTGCTAATAACCATTCATTTTATTCACTTTGGCAATCAAGTATATTAGAAGATGGCAGTATGGGACAATACATGCAAAATAATTTATTTATAGAAGTCTCCAATCTTTAGCTTTTTTTTTTTAAATGGTAACCTCTATTGTGTTGCTATCCCTTTAATTCATATTATGAAATTCTAATGGATACTACCCAATGGGAAGAAAGGAGTAAAAAAATTAAAGACAGACAATGATTATGGTTTCTAATTTCATCTGTGACTGTCATGTACAACATCCTTGCCTCAGTTTCTCCAAGTTTAATCAAACCTCCCTTCACAGGAGTGCTCTGAGGATTAATTAATATCTCTAAAGTCCTTGAAGATTAAAGTGATGATAATTGCCAATTATTGAGCATTATCACCATCATGTTAATAGTAAAAAGAAAAACTCTGCTTCATTAAAACAAACAGATGTTTGCATTAATTGTGTAGTATTTTTATCTCTTGATTTTTGCACTTCATGAGGAAACACATTTTGTATGTAATTATATTTCTGCCTGATATGCTTTGATGAAAAGGAATGGTAGATGTGACATGGCCTGAAAATACAGAGAGTCAAGTGCTATACAAGATTAAGCTTTCTCAAGGGCTTTAATTTCTCTATCAGATTTTTTTTTTTTTTTACATAAATGCCATTTTGAAATCCTTATTCAAAAAATATCATTGGAACAAACTGATACAGCAGGTTATCTGTTGCATGTAAACACTGAGGCGAATTCCATTTTGATGGAGAAGTAAAAAGAAAATTAATCTTAAGGAAAAATCAGTTTTGCTGAGACTTCCTGGGTATTTTATCCAACAGAAACTATATTCCACCCTTGTTCTGTGTGCAGATGTTCCACTAGTTTTAACAATCTGTGCAGAGACCAATGGGAAAATATAGTGCTATACTGGATCACCATAAAAATCAGATAATCATTCATTATATAAGATAACATTGCCCACAAGACCATTGTCATTTTAGCTAAGTGTTGATCACCTTTTCATGAAGTAGGCTGTTAGGCACAGAGACAGACTCTTCAGTGACCCCTAATCCTCTCCCACCACACATGCACACACACTCCAACCCCCCCCCCCCACCCCAAAAGAAACCCCAAACAAACCCTCCTCCAAAATGGTTTTAAAAATGCTAGAAATTTCTTCAGACTCTCAGGAATCTTGGGGGAAATTAATGAACGTTTTTGTACAATTTTTATGCAGAATTGTTTCTGAATGATGAAGAGCTGAAGAAGCTGTATGAATTTGAGGAGCAGTGTGTAGAGGAATACTTTCAGGAAAAGGAGGATGAACAACAATCATCAAACGATGAACGTATCAGAGTTACATCTGAAAGGTACCTAGTTAAAAAAAAATCCTTTTTACTAAAATCCTTTTCACGTTCCCCCTATTTTTATTAACACTGGGTGAGTAGGCCACAAAACCTGGTGGCCTTGGAGACATGTTTATCCAGACCATCCTTAAAGGTCTAAACATGCAAGTCTCTCGAAAGAGCAGGCTTTCTTATGGGATCTCTACTCTGTTTGCTCTTCTTTCAAGTGACTAACCCACAAGTCTCGCTAATGTATTATTTCTGTGTGAAGCTCTCTCTCCCTCTCCACCCGTTTTAGCAAACTGCTCTGTGTTGGGCTTCCAAAAGAGTGCACACATATACTAGAAAAGGTGGTGTCAGATGACAGAGAAGATGAGAAAAAGAGAAGTATGTTCCTTGCACCTGGTGTGTGGCTCAAGAACTTCTAAATTCTAGTATCATCTCTGATGCAGATTCGCTCTGGTTTCATGAGCAAGTTATTGGACCTCCCTACATGAACTTTCTCACCTGAAAAGGAGGAATAATGCCTACATGTACTTCACTGAGATGTTGGGATTAGGTTATTTTGTAAATTGGGGTAGGCAACGTTTTTTGGCCGGAGTGCTGAAAAACACCACAATGCCTACCTCAGAAGGTGCCGGAGTGCCAGCATGGCAGAAAAACAAAACGAGAGAAAGGGGTACATGGCAGGATGCCCTGCTTGTGCCCCGTGACCCCCACCCAAAGCCCCTGCCCCACAGCCCAGGCTCTGTGGCTGCCAGCAGCTACCCTGGCTCTGGGTAGCTGCTGGAGCCCAGGCTGCTCCCAGCAGGGCTTGCAGCGTCCCAGCTGCCTGCTGGGAGCAGCCCGGGGTTCTCAGCTGGCAGCAGCTACCTAGAGCTGGGGCTGACTGCAGCTGGGAGGCTGCTAACAGCTGTGCCAGGCTCCAGGCTCTGGCATCAGCTCCCTACCAGCACGGACACCCACCCATCGGAGCAGGTGGTGGGGGAGGGGCCTGAGGCAGCACAGCCCCAATCTCTCCCCTGCTCCCGGCACAGAGGTGATGGCAGGGCTCCAGAGCCCGGCGCAGCTGTTTGTAGCCAGCCTGGACTCTGGGCAGCTGCAGCAAGCAGCGGGCAGGCTGCAAACAGCTGCGGCATCTGCTCCGGCATCAGCTCCATGCTGGCGGCGACTGCGTGCACACCTCGGGGCGGGCAGTGGGGCAGCCCACTCCGAGGTGCCCGAGCAGTCACCTGCCATCACCTCTGTGCCAGGAGCGGGGGAGAGACCGGAGCTGCGCTGCCTCAGGCCCCTCCCCCACTGCCTGCTCCGAAGCGCAGGTGCACGCACCGGTAGGGAGCTGATGCCGGAGCCCGGCACAGCTGTTTGGAGCCTCCCAGCTGCAGCCAGCCCTGGCTCCGGGGGAGCCGCGTCACGCCAGCAGGCAGTTGGGACACTGCAAGTCCTGCTGGGAGCAGCCCAGGCTCTGTCGCTGGCAGCAGCTACCCAGAGTCAGGGCTGGCCATGGCATGCTGAGCAAAATGGCTTCACGTGCCATGCTCGGCACACGTGCCAAGGGTTGCCGACCCCTGTTGGAAATCATTATGTTGTGTATATAGCAGCAGTGACAGTATTATAGGTTTCTGTTACTAGGTCATCCAAGCAAAAAACCTGTCAGAGAAGATCTGTTTCCTAGATCATGTTTTCAAATGCTCTGCCCAGTTTACTGGCCATTGTAAATAAGTCAAATGATTCTTCCCTTGCTTCCCTTGGATGGCTGTTCAGCATTCCGAGAAACCTTGCTATTATGAAAATGATGCATGATCCTTTTCTTAAATATTCCTTTGTATAGTTCCATCTCATTAATTCCTTATTATACCTCACCTCAAGAACCACCCTAAATAATTCTTTTCATATTGTTTTTATGCCCTTAGCTGAATATCACAAATTCCCTTAGTCATCTTTTAGCTGACCTATAATTGATATTTAGCATGGACAAATATTCAATATGACCATGACATTGCAGGATATAACTGTAATATCACAGCTGTGTTAGTTAATTGAATTCCAAACAAATACTTAGCAACACTTTAATGATTGATATTCCATTTCTTATAGCATTTCTGCCTAGATCCATACAACAAGCCACTTAAATATTTTGCTCTGAATTCCTTCCAGATAGAGAGATGCCCTGAATATAATGCGGTATTCTATGTGCAGTCTGGGAGTAGAAGAGTAAATGAAATCTGCTCTGTGGATACAACAGCATGTGTCTGTGTGTGTGCATGAACACGATATCTACTGCATTGCTTATGCCCTGGCAGTTTTTCAAAACTGTGGCTATTGTGACAATAAATAAAGCAGAGCCAGCCAGTAAGCCTCACTGATTCACTATAATACATGAGTACAAAGCAGATCTGCATATTTCTCATGACTTCTTGCTCTAGATGCTCCATCATCTTTTGTGTGCAAGAGCAAAAGAAATGTTAATTTAATTTTCACAGCTGATTTGCTGGTATATGATCATATCACATCCTGGTCCATAGCTTTTATGTGCAGTATTCCTGTACCATAATTTATATCAGAATGTAGGTAAAAGGAGAAAACGGAAAAAATGGATTTTTAATTGGACTAGATAATAATTCTGCCATCTGCAAATCTGTTCTGCAGTTGAACTAAGAGCTAAAGTAGTTCAATACATTCTGGAGTGCATTCTCTTTCATGCAGTAACCAAACCTGTTTGTTATCCTACCTTGATTTTTTTTTTTAGTCCTATCTTGATATTTTTTAAGTCAACATTTTCCCCTTGTCATTAGAAAACACTTCCCATATAATTAATAGACTGTCTCTCAGTAAAGAATGGCTGAGGTGATTGGCACACATGGAAAAAAATTTAATAATAATACATTCTTCCCAGAGCTCACTTTTGAGCGCCAGACTGGAGACAGATTACATCTTCATCTAATATAATACAAAGAAAGAACATGAATAAACAGAAAATGCAAATCCTTTAAATGATATATTATCCTTTATATATTGGTATTACGTATTAAATTATATATTATCCACAGACGGATATAGATACTATTACTTGTTATAAAGTCCCCCTTTTTGTTCATATATTGTTTGGGAACAATCTATATAAATTTATTCATAAGAGCTTTCTCAGTATATATGAACAGACTCAACCTATGGATACGTTTTTATATAAAATTTTTTAAATTAATTATTCTGTGGGATTAGTTACTGGGTATTTTTCCTCCCTCATGACTGGATAACTGAAAAAATGTAAATAGAAGACTACAGAATGTCAAATAGCAAATAATGTGTTTCCAGTATCCATTTTTATTGGAAGAACAAATGGCATTAAGATGTTGAGGATTCACAATCATTTTCATGATTATCCCAGGGCCCTCCAAACACATTAAAAGCAAATTATTGGTGATGCTAGAAATCATAGCAACTGAATCTCATTGCTTTTATTCAATTAACTTTTCACAATGTATTCCTTGCAGCATTTTGAATATACACAAAGCATGCTGTGTTGGTATCACTGGGTGAAATTTTAAAATACTTCCTAAGAGAAAAACATTATAATCAAATGTAATGGAGTTAGTAGGGCCTTGCTACACATCGCATTTTGAGTTGCTCAAATGTTGATCAGTGTTAGTACTAGCTTGAAGCAGTCACATACCTTGGGCACGTCCAGACGAGCGCGGTTGTGTGGTACGTGGCGCTGCAAGAGTGCGCTGCAAGAGTGCGCTGCCTGCCCAGTCCAGTGTTCTCTGCGCTGCAAGGGCACACTGCCCAAACATGCATTGCTCCTTTTTTCCTGCAGTTTTTTTTTTTACCCTTGGATATCCATGGGGTCAAAAAAGCTGTGGGGGAAAAAAACGGAGCAGCGCATGCTCAGGCAGCATGCGCTGCTGAATAGCAGAGCCAGGCCACCCAGAGCCACACTGTTGCTGCTGGCCAGACTCTGCCTGGCAGGATCACTGTGGCTGCAGCCTGAGGAGGCCCCTAGACCCCAGATAAGCCTCCCCACTCCACCAGCAACTTGCCGTGCACCAAAGTGCATGTGGCATGTTGTTCCCTGGGGACCAGGTTTGCCACTGCTACTTTTCCCCAGGGAACCAAACATCCACACACATGTGGATGTGCCCCTTAAGATTAAAAACCTTCTCTGACTGTCTCCACCCTGCACAGCTGTGACTTGCCACTAGAGGACTGGTGAGCCAGGACAGCCGTGTCTCTCTGCTCTAGGTGAGGGTGGGTGCAACCTGGGTTGAGGGGCAGGAATATGAAGCAGGGAGGTGGAAATTCAGTGGGATGGATGTGGGTAATGACATGGAAGGTGAAAGGGAAATGGGGATTACTGGTGAAATAAAGAAAATCAGCCACTGAAGGATAAAATAAAAAGAAGTTAAAAAATGAATTTAAAAAGAAATAAAGAGGAAGTAAATTAAAGAAGGTCTTATGTTTTACTAAATTGGGATTAGGGTGGTGGGGGTACTGATCATGTTTCCCTGGGTGGCTGGGAGCTGGAAGCAGCGAAGGAAGGTGGTTTTGGGGGAGCTACTGCCCCTTCCCTAGGAAGGAAGTCCCAGTTCTTTGGGGACCCACTCCTCACCTCCCAACCCACCCGAGACCCACTCCCAGATCTGTGTGTGCCCTGCCACCTGGCTAAATAGCTTGTGCTCTGCAGGCTGTTTTCATGGGGTTGCACCCCTGGGGTGGGAAGTTCACGCTCCTATGGATGGGAGGGGGAGTTGGCTTGGTGCTGGAACCACTCCCTGGCCAATAGAGTTCAGTGAGTAGAAAGTTTATCCATACCGAATAGGAGGGTGGGGAAGGGAACACTGCATCCTGGGATGCTGAATGACTGCAACTTCAGCAGCTCATCTGTGAGGAGTAGCTACACATGGAACACAGATCAGAGATAAACCTGCTCTGGAGTGGTGCAACTTCAAGCTGCCTAAAGCATCCTTAAAGTTTCAAGTGTTAATGTGTAGACAATCCTGTGGTTAAGAGCTCCAAGAGCTGCC